TCTTACAGGACTGCAGGATGTTTTTCTGTAGTTTTCGCTTCACTACAACCCACATTTGCGTCCGCTTACGTTATTCTGAGGGACATTGGTTTCGCGGTTGCTCGCTGCTGCTACGTGGTACCTCAAAACCTCCATTTCCTATGCATACCACTTATTAACCGAATTTGAGGTCCGTAGTAGACAAATATCAGACCGAGGTTTTGACAGTACGGACCGAGCGATAGCGAGGTCCGTACATAAAAGACCGAGGTCTGATATTTTTCCAGTACGGACCGAACGTATTCGGTTAATAAGGGTTTTCTTATATGGCATACAGTATTTAGTTTATTTATTTATACAATGCGCTGCAGCATTCTTGCCGGCTCTTTCGCCAGCCAGTCGCCAAGCAAGCACTGAAGTGGCTTCCAAAACTTTGTTTTTTACTCGTTAAATAAGAATGATACAGTAATATAAACAAAAATCAAAGATGAAAAAATATAATATTCACATTTACCAAATAATGCTCTTCTTCGTCCATTCTCCGTCGATATTTCTCGTGTCGAAAATAAAAGTGCAAGCTTTTTTTTGTTCAAAAATATGAGAGTTGGACCGTTACTACGGCAACGGTCTAATACTGGGGGATTCCAGACCGGCAAACAACCAATCAGCGCACGCCATTTTGCCGCGTGCCATATAATAATATATGATATTACACTATTAACATTTATATAACAATTCCTTTATTAACAATACATTTACAATTTACGACCATAACACTATATATTTACGCATACTATGTAAATGACTGTTTAATTATGGTTGGTATACTCAACCATGCGTTAACGCAAATTCCGCAACAGTCGTTAATATTTTTTTGGGCAACATACATGTATTAGACAGTTGGTGAGCCCACTTAATAAAAAGCGAGTTTAAGATGCACCAAATCTACGACACGGACGTGGCATGAAAATTGCTACTAGTGTGAGTATTGACAGAGCCATTCCATCATTTCATATGCTCTACAAAGATTATATCATTTCGATGTGCTGGAGTGCGGCAAGGATTGAAAAAAAAACATTAGTGAGAAATTTGTGAGTTTTCAGGGTCGTAGCAGGAACCTTAATTGGGGGGAGGAAATGTATATTCATATATTTGTCTTATGATGACTGATTTCTTTCGTACGCTATTGTTCCTACGATATGCAAACATGATTATATGAATATAAGAAATAAGAGACTGAATGGACATAATAAATATAACAGTTGTTGGCAGGCTGAGGTTGGATTTTGTGTCTCACACAACTTTCATTTTGTGGGTTTGAATTAAAATTATTTTTTAAAAAATCTGTCATGTGTGTGATTAGGACATTTCAGAAATACTTGTATTACAATAAATATAGCTTAACATTTTTGGTAATATAGAAGATATACGCCCAAAGAAAACTTTTTAGGGAAGTGATTTGAACTAAAAATTCTGCAAAAGTACTTGTAAATCAGGGATATAGCTATAAGATTAATTGTGGGTGGGGGGATTTATATATTCATGTTCAAATAAGCGGCCCTGATGTAAATTCAAATATAAACTCTGCAAACGCATATGAATAGTAAATTCTTCATTTCATTTTGACTCTTCGGGCTTCAATTTCATACCAGGGCACATGATGACACAAGTGTAGAAGTAAGAATAATAGTTATTACCAATAAATTATTTATAATATATATATCAAGAAAATCTATATTCCTCAGTATGATAACATTTTTCAATATGACATTCTCAGAAGTAGATAAATATTGCTATAAAACTTGATATTTTGACCTCTCAGACATCTTGAATACTGGACTGGAAACTTGTAAATATAAGTAATATTTAACTACTGAAATTACTAAGGGTGAAGCTTGAGCGAAACTCCTGAAAAACCACACATGTCATTAGTTTGTAATAACATAGCTGAGTTTTTCACTTGGATATTACTAAAGCAAGAATGGTATTAATAATGATCATTAAATTTTGATTTGATACAGAAGTGTGTTGTTGTTGGGCAGAATGTAATTATTTTCAAAACTGATGCAATAACCAAGCAAGCAAGTAGAACTAATTCCTTTTTAATTTATTTAAACAAACCTAATACCCAAGGCTTTATAGTTACTGTGCATGTCTGAATATAAATATGTACACTAAGTCACTGACTAATAATAAATGCATCAATTCACACTTGCACGATTAATACCTCTCATGATTGCTCTCATATTTGTATTTTTTATATTTATTAGTTAAACTCCCTTTCCCTAGAACTTAGATCATGAAATAGAACTTAGAAACTAGCTCAGGAAATATTTTGCTTCATTTGAAATGGCGAAGGGTTGGTGCATGCATGTATTTCTAGTATTAAATATAACATTGAATTTGACAAGAAAACCATTGTCTTTATTTCAATTTCCTCATGTATGGAGAAAAAACAAACATTACATGACACACAGTTACACAAAATGACTGAGACATAACTATGCTTCATGGGTGGGTGAGTGTTCATCACAAGATGATAAACATTAAACAGTTCATCAAGTGTTGCTAATATATTGTTTTTTCTATTAAAAGTTTGAAATATTTATGATGAATTGATAATGACTTATTGATAAATATTTAATGTTGTAGTTACCAGTATATATTACAGTACAAACTACCAAGTCTGTGGGGGAATATTGCAAAATTTAATACCAAATTGGACAAATAAATATACACTATAAAAACAATCAAAACAAAGTAATACCTTTTTATTCCAAGTACAACAGATCTGATATCAGAAATCTATTAAACGACGATTTTACCAGAAGAAATATCAGGATTTATTTGGTATTTTTATCACAAAGATATTCCAGTGTTTGGATGTGCGAGTTTTGATTTTTCACCACAAAAATCACGTGACTGTCTGTGAAACAATTCAAGTATTCCTTGGCGTGCATAGGAAATTCCTCAGTTTTCCTGACATTTCAACCTTACGGGGGGTGAGTTAGTGTTTAGTGTTTCAGGATTAATTAGTCTTAGTATTAAGATTACCTTTGTTAATTGTTAGTATTGCTGATTTTCCCGGAAATATTTGTTCAACTTATACAGGGTGTCCGAAAAAAAAGCAAACCACTTAAATATGCAGAACATTAATACAGCTCTAAAGCGCAATAGATAAGCACTTCTGGGAATTGAAAATGGCTCTTAATCCTTCATTTACAATGCTAAAAGTAATTTAACTGAACTATGGTGCAAACCCCGAACACTATTAATATTCTTGCATATTTAAGTGGTTGCTTTTTTTTGGGACACCCTGTATATGATATACAAACAACATTTTTTTCTCCTGCGCATTAAATCACAAACTGAGTAGAGCCGCCAAGCACCCCAATAATTTCAAGAATTACTTTTCATGTTTCAAATCCAAATACCATGAAAACAAAGACAACAATTTTATCAAAGTTAGAGAGCTTCTCAACGTTTTGACCAGGAAAGTAGCAGTGATGCGCAGTGGCGTAGCCAGCCTGACGATTTTGTCCCGCTATGTAAATTTCAAGTTATTATAATTATTCATGTCTTTAGAAATCTATTGTTTTCACAGTCATTGAACACCAAAATATTAGCATAGCGGGACAAATCGACAGGCTGGCTACGCTACTGGTGATGCCAGGAAGTATTTATTGTCTATTTTACGTAGTTGTGATTATGAACCACATTTGATGCAAAGTTGTTGGGTGAAATATTCAGAAAGCAACTAATTCCCTGCAGATGAAAATCAAACCGTAGTTTAAATTACAGGTATTTGTTGCCTCAGAGGTTGAGGATTACCAGCGCGTGCTTTTTTCAACTACACGTAGTCTAAGCTTGATTTATTTAGCGAGGAAGGTTTCGCTTATCGATTAGAGCTCCAAGTTCGTATAGAGGTCAAGGCGATAATGATCGATTATTATAAGTACGTAATAGCAAGATAATTCTGCAACAATAATTATTGTGCGTAAATAATTTGAGTTAAAAACATTAAAAAGATCAAAAACAATAATTAATTAAAAGTCACTGACTTAATAAAAATAAACATAATTATTATATTTATTACGTTGTATCCACAAGCATCCGCAATTTTTTCCCACAAACAGCGGGAACATCTTTGTTGGTTGAGCACGTCTTTAAATTTAGCATTCATCCGCCAATCGATTGCTCACTTAGCTGAGCCGCCTTGCGAGGGCCAGTGAACTCAATTAAGACTGGAACGCTAGCTCTCTCACTTTCCCTCTCACTTTCCCTCATTAATGAGTGAAACCAAAATGGCAGATCATGCAGCCTTTCTTGTATGATCCAGGCCTCTGGCGCGAAAATTTCAACGGAAAAATAAAAATTGCCGCCATTTTATCAACGTAATTTCCACGTGCAGGCCTGGATCCAATGCCTGGGGTCGGTTGTATCAAGCCCGTTTAGCTTAAACGGTGGATAAGTCAAAATTAAAATAACACTCTTACATCTCTCTTGAATGAGTCAACTTGAATATTATGCACTGAATATGTAGTTGTAAACATTAGCTTTGTATTAAGGTAAAAAAACATTTAGTTTGCTTTTGAATAAAACGATAGACTTGCTTTCTATTTTGAACTTAACCACCGTTTAAGCTAAACGGGCTTGATACAGCCGGCCCCTGGATCATAGATACAAGAAAGGCTTCATGATCCACCATCTTGGCTTCAAATTCTTCGCAGAGCTCGCGTTCCATTGTTATTTGAATTCACTAGCGAGGGCACTAATTCCGCTGGACATTTATTATAGACATGAGTATTCCCAGAACATGGCTGAGTCCGAAGTTATTGAAATCCTACGTCATGGACATTGTCATGGAGTCATGGACGTTGGACGTTCAATAGTCTATATAAGCGCCATGGTCAGGGGTGTTTTGCGCATGCGCGACATTTAAAACATCAGGTATCGCCTCATTTGGATAATGTTCCTCCAAAAAATCGCTGGTTCCCCATGCAAGATCACGGATCCGTAATTTATTTTTTAATTCTAAATTCACGTGGCCTTATTTTCATCAAAGTTGATTTCAGTGAATAATGATATCCTTTCCAATGTTTCCAGTTGACTCCATCAGCAAACGATGTTTGTGCGCCATCATGATACAAACCATTCAAATTGGAATGATGACAATCACGATACCACCAGGCTCCTTTGAATGACACTGCACAGTTACCACCCCAAATATCATTGTCAGAATCTTTGGTGGTGAAAGCCATACCGTTATGATATGATAACGAGTCTCCTGCTGTACCTTAATGTAAAAGTATTATATTAATACCTCGTATGACATACGAGCAAAAAATTATGAGTCGTTAACTATTTTGCTACAAAAACATCGTTATATTAACAATGAGAGGGATTCATTTTAATTAATTAATATTAACAATGTAAGTGTTGACTTTAGCAATTAAATTATGGATTTTCAAGAGCGGAACACCGTGAGGTTGTTGTTCACAAAATATCGGAAATTGCAAAAAATAGAAAGAAATGCGAATATTTTATATTAGATGATGTATATGCAGGCCAAAACGATACAAATTGTGGATTATTCTCAGCAACTGCATTGATCGAAAAAAGTGAGACAAAAATGTTGAGAAAGTTTGTAAATGGCATGAAGACGTAACTATATTTATTTTCTATCACTTTTGAAACATGGAAAAGTTCACAGTTCACACTAAAAAAATAGTGGAATTCTTTGTGGCATTGTTACGTGAACTCGTCTGTATTGACTAATATGTTTATAATTTTTTGAAGAACTATAAAAAGATTTTATTACGAGTGAATCTAAAATTGGTTATCGTTGAGACGAAAAGAGCAATGGGAATGCACCACTTATACATAATAGACCAACTTAATTAATTATGATCTAGGCAACAAGAAGAAAATAAATAACCACAGCTAAAAATAACATACTGAAAGTAGATAATTACCAAGTTTTGCATCCAAAAGTCAATAAACGAAGTAGGCCATTTTTGTAAACGTTTGTTTTAACTCCCGGCCAAAATACAAAAATATACAAATTTTCCTACTACCCTTGGCCATATTTTCTGTACTTTACAATATTTCGCACGCAAACTTGGCAATTTTAATATTTTTTATTATTTTTTAGTAATTTTAGGACTAATTTCCTTTTCCATTACTATCCGTAGTTATGATAACTGCAATGATATTGAGTTAGAATCATCGAGCTCAAAGGAAATATCAGCCTATTTAGACAATATGTTTGCAGAGACTCTGTATTGAAGTTGTCCCGTAATGAAATAATAGGGGCAAATCATAAAATTTTACCCTTTAATACCGACAGAAATCTATCTTCAAGAAAAATAAGTCAGAACTTCTACACCCATGTAAGAAGGACTGTTTTAAAATTATCCTGTCTACATTCTTAGCATTTACAGCAAGTCGTGATAGCGGATGTATATATATATATATATATATATATATATATATATATATATATATATATATATATATATATATATATATATATATATATATATATATATATATATATATAAATAATATATATATATATATATATATATATATATAATATATATATATATATATATATATATATATATATGTTTACTTGGAGTTGTATCTGGTTTAAAACAATTTATTAAAAAGATTCTAGATTAAAAAGTACTAAATTTTCGGTAGCTAACTGCTACCTTCATCAGAGTTCTAATGTTCAAGCAGTATAGACAGACTATTATATAGTGTCACTATCCTTGCATGATTGAATAATTGGTATGTAAATTTGAGGAAAATGTTTATGCTCATTCACTGATCTTTTGTCCAAAACCGAGTGCATGCAATGACTCAAGGAAGAGTCTTTTGTTTGTGTTATGCACTTTCTTTTCCAAAATCCTAGCATTCTCCATTGACACTTCATGACCGGTACTTTCTGCATGGTCTTTAATCGCTGACTTAATCTCTCGTCGTACGCCAGGTTTATGCTCAGCCCATCTCGATTTCCATGATCTTTTACTCTCGCCGATATAAGTGAATTGACAATCTGGACATTCAAACTTATATACAATGCCTTTTATTTCAGAATCTAATTGTTTATCTTTAGGTTTCCCAAGTATATCACCCAAATTTTGCATAGGTTTATATGCCACTTGTTTCACAAGCATCCCATATGTAAGAGGGGTATCCGAACAAATCAAACGAGTCCTACACACCGCTGGCGTACGTACGGCATATAAACCTATGCAAAATTTGGGTGATATACTTGGGAAACCTAAAGATAAACAATTAGATTCTGAAATAAAAGGCATTGTATATAAGTTTGAATGTCCAGATTGTCAATTCACTTATATCGGCGAGAGTAAAAGATCATGGAAATCGAGATGGGCTGAGCATAAACCTGGCGTACGACGAGAGATTAAGTCAGCGATTAAAGACCATGCAGAAAGTACCGGTCATGAAGTGTCAATGGAGAATGCTAGGATTTTGGAAAAGAAAGTGCATAACACAAACAAAAGACTCTTCCTTGAGTCATTGCATGCACTCGGTTTTGGACAAAAGATCAGTGAATGAGCATAAACATTTTCCTCAAATTTACATACCAATTATTCAATCATGCAAGGATAGTGACACTATATAATAGTCTGTCTATACTGCTTGAACATTAGAACTCTGATGAAGGTAGCAGTTAGCTACCGAAAATTTAGTACTTTTTAATCTAGAATCTTTTTAATAAATTGTTTTAAACCAGATACAACTCCAAGTAAACATGTTTTCAACTGGTTGCCTAAACAGCATATATATATATATATATATATATATATATATATATATATATATATATATATATATATATATATATATATATATATATCCTTCATTGTATGAAGTAACATTTATAGTATTTTTTGGATAAATTTATATTTAATACTATAAGATTGATAGTTAATAATTCTAACCTTCAAATGCTCCAATAACCAAACGAAACTTTTTGATTTCGCTGTCGACTGTGAAAGAATCATAATGAGCGCATCTGGTGTTTCCAGATGTATCTTCCATGTCGATACGAAGTTCATTTTCTAAAATATTTGTCATCCTGTGTATTTTGTCAAGACCAAGCCAATATTCTCCGCTCAAGTTACCAAAACCTTGTTTGTAATCTTGCCATCCTCGGTAGAAGTCAACACTTCCATCAAGACGACGTTGAAATACAGTCCATCCTCCACCTGATGTTGTCATATCACAAAACACTTTGAAACTTCCCTTTCCATCAGGATTAATTTCATAAATTCCACTTTGGTTGTTTCCCTCTCCATACAAATCAGCGCAGTGGAGACCTGGAAAACAGTTTATGTTAGCACTGAAGGTTGCATCGTTATGAAACCAGGGCCGACCACATGACTGTCCTCATAGGGAGATAGCAAATCCAAAAGAGAGAAACAAATAACATTCGAAAATATCGTATATATTATTATATACAGAAGCGCCAGATATGAGCAATTTCATTGGTTGGCTACTAGACAGATATTAGTTCATATCTGTCTAGTAGAGAAAGTAAACAAAATGGCGGAAAGATTTGGGGAGTTGAGTGAAATAGAAATCCAAGCCTAGTTGATAATAGCAGACCAAAATGCACCGAAAGGGCGACAAAGTTTGTGTATATAATAAAACAGTTCATATACGACTCGAGTTCGCAGAATAACTGTTAAATAGTATATCCTATCAACAGAGATTTAATCCTCCCTCGTGCTTATCATTTTGAGGGAGAATTTCCTTAATTGTGGAAGCCTTGCAAGTAAGAAACCGTATTTTCAGACGCATTTCTTTTCGCTCAAGAGAACATGCAATTATTTCGCTGATAAATTATTTTGCTGAAAATATGAAAATCCGCTCTAATTCGCAACATGTGATATAGAATGAAATTGGAAAATAAAGTGTGGAGAAATTGATTCATCTAGAAGAAGAGGGAAAAGATAGGGAAATCGGCGAGTGTTGGAAATGGTATTTAGGTTGCACATGTACCTGAGCTCTGAAAATGATCATTTCCGAAGAGCAAGAGCAACCAAGTATGAATATCTTCAACATGCATCTTCCTAAGCCTCTGTTCAGTGTCTCTAGTATTTGTTTTGGGCATGCTGAACAGTGATGCTGGCACACAGCAGCATTTAAAGATTTGGATTTACGTCGAAAACAGGGTATTTTTTAGGGGGTAGGTTCATTATCTATTATAAAGTTACTATAAGCATATGGAAAAGTTTTTCCAACGCCTGTCAAGAATACCTGTGATACAGCTTGCACGAAAATCCTGCAAAGAAAAAAAAGAATTTTTCTCATATTATATGCTCGTAAAGAATCTAATAAACTTTTAGATTCTAGTCTCATCACTCTCAAGACGCAGTATCAATTAGGGGGAGAGGAGTGAAATATTCATATATTAATGTTCACTAACCGTAAGAACAATTAATTTGTTAAACATGAACAACATGGAACACAAATATATTAATATACCCCCCAACTTATCGTGCTACAACGGCACTGAATTGATGCAAGGATGTGAATGCTTTAATTTGCCCTTCCTTACTCGTGCTGATGAAAAGTGGATGAGTTTTTCTTCAGCAAAAAGAGAAATAATTATCCAAATGAACAACAAGAGAATTCCACTCATATCGAACTCGCACCTTTTCAGGTTGAACCAGATAAATATGATCAAAAGCTGGGTTTAACTGCAATATTTTGTCAGATGTGTTGTAAACCAGGTTATGTAACATTTCACAATTCGGTTCTTCATGGAAGTCAAATGTTTTATTGTAGTTGATTGATCTACAGCATGGTTCCTTCACACATTCAACTACGCAATTAATCCATGTCGAGGCATGCTGTGTCTTCAATATTCTTGCGTCTAGCCTGTATCCTGGAAGAGAAAACGTTGCATGTTTGTATGTTCAACCTCATTCAATAAATATTAAGAGACAACAAAAATCGGCAAATTAAATTTGAGTAACAAATTTTTACTCTTGTTCCTCTTTTCTGCATTTTTTTTCTCAATTAGGTAAAAACACAAAATTTTCATTGAGCCATAAATGACGCTTTGTAGTCGAAGTATTTCAATCATCTGTTGATTCACCGGATCAAGAGTCAACCTAATAAAAAATTTCCCCAATTATGTCGTCGTGCTTACCTTCAAGTGTGGAATTAAAACAAAAAACCAAACCTTCACTAGAGTGGATATGTTGAATGGCTACCCAAAGAATGCTTCCAGCGACGTGAAAACGAAGATCAAGAAACATATCTTTAGTTTCAAGTGACTTTGACGAAATGTCATCCTGTAACAAGAAAAGTATATATTAAATTATTTTGCTCGAAATGGATTATTAGTTTGGCAATATGGAGTGCCAAATATTTCTTGAACTGCATAAGGGATTTTCAAGCAATCACTGAATTCGTTATTTTAAATCAAGAAAGTTCCTGTACATTTTTTTATCTATTGCATCCTGTAAGGGCCATGTCACACGGGGCAATTTTTCTTGCAACTTGCAAAGCAATTCTACTTTTGAGAGATGTAAATTTAGCAACTACGAAACTTTCTAATAACTGTGGTTTCTTACATTTTGAATACTCTGTATTAATTTACATCTCTTAGAAGTAGGATTGCATTGCAAGTTGCATGAAAAATTGCACCATGTAACAGGGCCTTAATTAAAGAAGGGTGTTTTGTTTGCACGCATGTGGTCTTGCAGTATTCTACATATTGCTTTGTTATATTTTTAGTGAACGAACAGCGTGACTGCATGGCTTGGTATATGATATCTACTGCGACACAAAAAGCGGAAGAAACTCATAACTAAGCGATTTCACTCAGCACTGGCGTTCATCATCACAAACATATTAATAATGGACCCTTGAATGAGTGATTGTCAATGCAGACGGTAAGTCTCAGTAGGGAAATATAGTTGTCAATGGAAAGGGATGTGGCTGTACGTAAGTGAAATGAATTGATACTATAATACTAGTTTTATCTCTCCAAGTTTTTGTAAAATATCGACGCGAAAAAAAATTGACAATCTGCAACAAATTGTCCTAAAAGATCTTTAATCCCTAATCTGTTAGACGAGATAATCCCACGATTATCTCATAGGTTTTTGACACGAATGTTTACCCATGCTTGTGTTTTGAATCATAATGTGTGGCGATGATTAATCTCTTAGATATTTGATTACATTTTCCGCAATATTAATTGTATATGAATTTATTACTTTTTTATGCTTCACGTCGCAAACTAATAATAAACTAATAAATTGCCGGAAAAATCCGAAATTAAACTAAATAGCTAATTACAAAAAACATTCAAATATATAAAATGTAAGCGACCTAAATATCATTTTTTTTAAATGATTCAGAACACTTCGGCGTGTCCTCAATCTTAGGCAAAGGGATCTCAGCGAGATTTGTGATTCAGTTGCATCCATAAAAGATTATGATGCATGGTAGTTTGGAAAATCAGCCGCGGTGCTATAGTATAGCCGGGCTGTAGAGCAAAGAGAAGACGTTATAATAAATATTAATATTGGGGGTTTTATACTTATAACTGAAAACGATGGCTATCAATGGATTGGTTTAAAAGATCCCTCAAAGATTTAAAACTATAACTGGATGCACGGTTAGTGTGCACTAACCCCACCTGTCTAGGGTCGCCAACGCTTAACTTTAAGTTGTAATAATACCGAAGTGCTTATATGCAACCGATCTGATGTCCAATGTTTATGATTTCTAGTACGTAATAACAAAAACAATTTACTATTTGTCGATTTCATCGAACTTTAAATATCTTGGACGGTGAATTGCATTTCTTTTTTAAATCATTTTGTGCCATTATCATGCACTGAGAAGCCGTTGAGTAGGTAAATGAGGAAAAATGAAACAGCATAAAGTTTTCTTTAACAAAATGTAATGTGCCTTTCTCACATTTAGACAACACCTGCTCCCTTAGGAAGTTCAAAAAAATTTCTCACTTTCGGCAATTGTTTCTAGAAAATCACAAAAATGCTTACAAACTTACCAAGCGAATGTTGTTGTCTTTAATTCAAAACCAAATCGCTTGTATAACGTCTTGTTGAAAATAATTAAGGACTGGGAGAAAAAGGTAGATATATACCATCAATAATTGATGATTGTCTAAGTCGTTTGCATGTTATTGCTATTATAATTTGCAGGTGATTTCAATTTGGTTCATTATTTCTAAAATGCGCGTTAATTTAGGTTTATGAAAAAGTTGAAGTTGAGCACGCAATATATTAAAGCAAGGAAAGCCTGAATCCTGATCGCATTATTTTGTTGACTTCAGACCAATTTTCCATGTAACGGTTGTTCTGCATTTTTGTTCTTGACCTATATAACAATAGGATGGATTAAAGATAAATTTCTTCGTTACCAATGAAGGCCTATTAAAGTTTGTGCACTTATAGGCGTACGGGGTCTACTTTTTAGGGGTGGCAGTTAATATTTTGCCCACTGAAAATTCCCAACTTTCAAACAGCTTTCCTCCCCGTCCCGTTAATTTTTTTTTGGAGAGGGGCAGCTACCCCCCCACCGCCCAGTACGCCTATGTTCGTGCACTACATGTGATTATTACGAGCCATTTATTATTAGGTCTCCGTGACATACGCTTGGAGTTCCTACAATACAACTATATTATTATGCCAAAAATACGGCAAAAAGAATTACTTTTTTACGTTTCGACTTAAAGAACTTCCTCTATTCAACAAATTTAGCATATAAAAAATAGAAAAATACCTTCTATCCTATCCTATGCTATTCATTGCATTTCATGTCGTTTTCGACTGTTAATTGTTACTGCAAGAATGCTGGGAGTTGCATTTTCAAATTCGAGACACGATGATTACCAAAGTTTTAGTTCCGTCCGCAGTCTTGGAGTTATCAGGTGCAAGTTGATAATAGATTTACGGTATTCATCAAAAACCACGACAGTTTTGATTCAAATATTGATTCTCAAGATGTCTTGTCTGATCGGAATTTGTATTTCATTCGCAGATGTGTCGCGGATATGAAGTAAACAACATTCGTTGCATGACGCGCGTTAAACGAAGTGAGGCAGGTAAAATGGGGCGCAATGAAAAAACGTTGAGTCAAAAAAGATCAGGGGCCGGTTGTATAAAAACGTAGTTAACTAAATTCACTTTTAACTATAGTTAGTGACGGAATTGACCAATCAGAGTTATGTACTTCTGAGTTAACTACGATTTAACCACGCAAAATGTAGTTAAGACTTTTATACAACCGGCCCCAGAGATTTTGAAATATGGATGATGTTTCATGTGTGAGGATCATTGTGCCCGCAATTTGCTCACAACACAACTTGGTAAAGTGAGAAAGAATGTGGAAATAGAGCCTCATCTGCGGCCATCATAGGACCTGAAGCGAGATTGGACATAATTATAATGGCGGAGGAATTTTGGTTACGTGGAGCTACTGCATTTTTTGGCGTAAGAGTGTAACTCCAAACGTACCCAAGGCCGGACAACCCAGACGATATTCAGGGAAAACGAGAACGAAAGGAAGAGAAACAGAGAGATATCACGAAGATATGCAGTTGTCATAGCGTGGTTGAAAACCAGAATCCTCCTCATTTGAGATCTTAAGATCGGTACACCAGATCACCTATAAATCAAGACAAGATCACCTTTTTATAGAAAAGAACTTGAAGTGGTGGACGATTTTGGACTAGACGTTAAGGTTGCTGGGGTTTTTTAGATTTTTAGATTTTAGTTTGAGTAAAGTATTTTTTTACATTAGGCAAAATAGCATTTTAGGGGAGTTTTAGCTAAATTAGAAGAATTTTAAATTTTGTATTTTGCCTGGATTTTATACCGTGTATAAAAAAACCTTTTCCAGCAGACAATTTAGCGAAATATAAGAGAAAACACACTCCGAAAATAAACATCTTTTAAACCCAATATATGAGTTGTTAAAAACAAGACACAATATTCAAGGTGATATTTCGACTCTATCTCAAAGTCATTGTCAAACCTGACGTGGTCTTTTAATGAGATTTTAAAGTGTATGAATCCAATTTTTATGGTATAATTTAGTGAAAACTTCCTTGCTCTGGTATTGGAATATAATTTTCACGTTCTTAACCTCTGAAACAGAGGATTGTCGCCTTTGTCCGGGGTGACCCGAGGCTCCTACGTCCTTGGGACTTGGCATATTCAATAGCGTATACTTACAAACACAGTTTTCTTGACGGGTTGGCTAAGAAAACGATGTTTTAATCGCAAGCCGAAGCGAAGTCTATAAAAAGGCGTGCTGATGGTGAGAAACGGTTTGAGCACTGACCTACGAAATGAAGCGTTCAATTTCACGTGATTCCGCCATGACGTAACTATGACGTAAATATGACGTAAATATGACGAAATGGATCATTTTAGCACGTTAACCATCTTAACAAATTGATGTTTTTCAAAGAGGTCGTGCTTATAAACTACAAATATACACAGCCTATTAACTATAATTTTACTACCATCAAATGTGGTATCATTTATTTAAATGTGGTATGGGGAGCACCGTGCGAGGGTACTAATTCCGTAAGAATATTTACACCCACGATGTTGCAAAAGCGAAATCAAAGTTGTCCGCCATTCTGCAATAGACCTCACGCCATGGACGGTCTTCTACGTTATACACATGCGCCAGTGTGAACTAATAAGCTCTTGATTGTTCGAGACAAAAATTTGTATTTTCAAACGTCAATGCATAACTGTCATTTTGATGTAAAATGCAAAATTTTGATGAAATTTATACATTTATATTTTCAAAAAAATGTGATACATAATTTATATATTTTAATTACATTAGAGGGAAATAATAATATCAAATTTCGGAAGTTGTACGTCCGATGTTATAGGGTTCATGGTAATTTATGTTTAGAATAATTTGCGATAACACTGTCTATACATGAATAACTCAACTTCCTGAAAAATGTAAGAATCCTGTCGTATTTTTGGCATCATTTCACAAAAATATGAGGGTAATAGCTGTGGTAATACTTGATTCTTTGAAAATATCACGAGTTGCTATGACTGTCATTCTTCCACGTCAAGAAAAATATTTCCATTCTTCTTTTCTCACATACCACGTGCCAACTATCAACTATCATGTTACTATTCCTACACTTAACTAATTTCCTTGCATGCATGTTTTTACTTACAAAAAATGCTGGTTCAGCAAGATCAAGGATCAGTAAGTTATTTTTTAATTCTAAACTACACGTGGTCGTATTTTCATGGATGTTGATTTCAGAGAATAACGATATCCTTTCCAATGTTTCCAGTTGACTCCATTGGCGTGCGATGTGTGTTTGCCATAAAGATACAAACCATTCAAATTGGATTGATGACAATGACGATACCACCAGGCTGCTTTGTATGTCACCGCACAGTTACGTTTTGAATCAACGTCATTTTCAGAATCTTTGGTGCTGAAAGCCATATGGTTATGATATGATAACGAGTTTCCTGCTGTACCTAACGATGACATATGAGCAAAAATTATGATTAATTGATATTTTGCTATTTCAACAAATATTTTCACTATTGGGCTTGATCAAAATAAGTGGGACAAAAATGTTGAAAAAGTTTGCAAATGGCATCAAGACGTAACTATATTTTCAATATATCACTTTTGAAACATGCAAACGTTAACTAAAAATAGTGGAATTCTTTGTTACGTGAACTCGCCTGTCGCCACTAATATTTGTAAATTAATTTTTGAACGTTCTAGCGAAAGAATCTATAATTTATTATCTTTGGGAAAAAAGATATAATTACTATGGTGCTTGCGTTATTATATATAATGTAATACAGCCTATTTAGACAATCTTTGCGAAGACTCTTTATTGAAGGTCTCCTGTGCTGAAATAATAGAGGCAAATCGCAAAAAAATACCCTTTCATACAGACAGAAATCTATATATCTCCAAGAAAAAGAGTCAAAAAAAAGTTTACACGTCCAAATGCAAGAGGGCTGTTTCCAAATGCAAGAAACAAATTTCCCCTGTCAATATTCTTCATTAACATTTCTGGCTAGCCGATCATGATGACTGATATTCATGATTATATCTTTCACCGTAACATTTATAATATTTTTGGGATAAATTACGTAGTTAATAATATAGTGTAATGGAGTGCAGTCCGTAATGTAAACAAGCGAGTTGTTTACATTTTGAATCCGTATATAGCTACACGTTTATAGTTTGCTACACCTTTAAATGAATACGACTATACGAGAGAGAGTTTATGCTCAGAGATTTAGGAAATATGCGTAATTTGAACAATTTTGAAACAAGTAGACTACCTATTGTTATGAGCAAAACCGAGAGTGCAGAAGCGACTGTAACCCCCCTTTAAAAAATCTGACCTTAAATTGTGTATTTAATTGATACTATGAAATTTAAAGATAATAATTCTGACCTTCAAATGCTCCAATAAACAACCGAAACTTTTTGATTTCGCTGTCGACTGTGAAATAATCATAATGAGCGTATCTGGTGTTGCCAGATGTATCTTCCATGTCGATACGAAGTTCATTTTCTAAAATATTTGTCATCCTGTGTATTTTTTCAAGACCAAGCCAATATTCTCCGCTCAAGTTACCAAAACCTTGTTTGTAATCTTGCCATCCTCGGTAGAAGTCAACACTTCCATCAAGACGACGTTGAAATACAGTCCATCCTCCACCTGATGTTGTCATATCACAAAACACTTTGAAATTTCCTCTTCCATCAGGGTCAACTTCATAAATTCCACTTTGTTTATTTCCCTTCTCATAAAAATCAGCGCAGTTGAGACCTGAAGAATATAATTTATGTAGCATCAAATGTGGTATAACAAATGCCTAAAATTGACAAAACACTTCTTGACGTTTCGACCTGAGGGCCAGGGGAGTTAGTATGATACTAACTGTCATGCTAACTCTTCTGACGAAGGCCCTCAGGTCGAAACGTCGAGAAGTGTTTTGTCTATATTCTAGGCAGTTGTTATACAACATTTGCATGATGCCAAGTTGTTTGAGGACACTGCCACGCTGCTCCCAGGTTATATAATATTTGTACTTTAACAGTCCCCTAAAATTGTGGCCCCAAATTTTTGTCTCTAAAATTGTATCTGCAATGAGTAATTTAACCGACACGCGGCAGTTTAATACTATGGAAATAGTTGAATGTTCGGTCCTTATATGAAACCAGGACGTCCAAAAGTATTTGTGTACGACAGTAATAACAGGAATAGTAATTTTAAAAGAGAAAAACAATCAAAATAATGGCCATTTCCGAAGCGCTAGAGCAATCAAATTGTAATCTTCAACATCTTCCTATACGCCCCTGCCTAATGTATGCATGCTGACCATGCAGCGATACTGACGCATAATGGCTATTTAAAGATTGGGATTTACGTCGAAAACAGGGTATACTTTGGGGGTGGGGGTGCAGCTTTGCGATCTACAGATTCATTTTCTAAAGTTATTTTAATTATAGAAAACTTCGCTAAAGATGAATAGAGGTTGTTTTTCTTCTAAAGCCTTCACCTCTTTTCACAAGTTAATTACATAATTTAAACTTTAAAACAATTTAACAATTTGTAGTCTGAAGACGGACAGTTAAACTGTTCGAAACGAAGCTAATGAACGAGGAAAATGAAGCTATAATGAAGTCAAAGATAACGAGGCCATATTTATATGAATCAATGACGAACAATAATGTCTTGCGGACTATACGAAATTGGATGTGGTCATAGACTGAAAATGAACTAACTGTTGGTGAATATCAGTGAGCCATTGATAAAGAGTCAGTCAAACTGGCTATATGTATGTCAATCAACCTAGAAATGCCTTGTTGCGTTCAAAAGGACGTTTCACCAGTAACAATATGCATGTAGTTAAACTCAAAATGTTCAACTTAAAGACTCACGAGGAAGGATTGCGTAGAATTGACATTGCCTTAAACTTCACGCTGGGTATTGAATTGTGAAAGGAAAATTTCGACCTGTTGGAAACTATGTTGATGATTTAAAGTTTTTCCTGCGCCTGTCAAGAATACCTGTGATACAGCTTGCACGAAAATCCTGCAAAGAAAAGATAATGTTTCTCATGTTATATGGTCAGAAATAATCTAATAAGCTTTTAGATTCTAGTCTTATCAATCACATGCAAGGCAGTGGCGTAGTATAAATGAGGGTGTGTGTGTGTGAAATATTCATATATTTTAACATGAACAACATAGAACTCAAATATATTAATATACCCCCAACTCAACAACAACTGATGGAATGACGTGAGTGCTTTGCTCTCCCTAATGTGCTGATGAAAAGTGGAAGAGTTTTCTTACAACAAGAAAAAGAGATGATTATCCTACTGAACAACAAGATTGAGTGTTCCACAACTCATACCTTTTCAGGTTGAGCCAGATAGATATGATCAAAAGATGGGTTTAACTGCAATATTTTGTCAGATGTGTTGTAAGCCAGGTTGTGTAACATTTCACAATTCGGTTCTTCACACAAGTCAAATGTTTTATTGTAGTTGATTGATCTACAACATGGTTCCTTCGCACATTCGATTACGCAATTAATCCATGTCGAGGCATGCTGTGTCTTCAATATTCTTGCGTCTAGCTTGTATCCTGGAAGAGAAAACCTGGTTGTTAAAAAGTTCTTTGTATGTTCAACCTAATTCAATAATAATTTTTGTTAACTAACCAATCGCGAGCTAAATCGAGTCGAATTGAATAGAGTAAGTAAAATTGACCTTATACGTTGACCTATTTTTTAAGAGGTTACTAAAGCCTCTAAAGTCCACAATACACTCAATTCATTGGCACGGCATGGCTAAATGGATGCCCGTGCCCATTTCATCTGGGCCCGGCCTTTATTTTGGTAGCCTGAGCGCTAATACAATTGAGCATGGGTACTCATTTTAGCCCTGCCGTGCCAATAATTTAAGCGTAAACGAGGCTTAAGATTAGTTATCTGCAGGAGTGTTTTAAAATACATTAAATAACCTAGTATAGCCTAATATAGTCACACTTTTCCGCAAGTAAAATTAGTAAATAGATTGTCAACTTCGGCTGACTATATTTTTGACATTAATTTGCAGGGTAATTTGCACCGTACCAAGAATCAACCTAATTAAACATTTCCCCAATTATTTCGTCCGTCGTGCTTACCTTCAAGTGAGGAATTAAAACAGAAATCCAAACCTTCACTGAACTTGATATGTTGAATGGCTACCCAAAAAATGCTTCGGGCGACGAGGTTGATAAGGAATCGGAGATCAATTGCAAGATACATTTCGTTGGTTTCCGATGACTTAAACGAAATATCTTTCAATAATAAGAAAATTATATAAATTATTTTATTCGACCAACATAGAAATGTGATTATTAAATTTTTCTTGAACTGCATATGAGATTTTTAAGCAATCGCTGAATTCGTTATTTTAAATCATGAAAGTTCATGCATGTACATTTTTCGGGGGCATCCATTCTGCATGTAAGACGGATGCATGCATGCGGTATATTCAATGCTAGTTTTATCACCTCAAGATACCGTAAAATATCGAGGCGAAAAAAAATTCACAATCTGCAACAAATTTTCTTAGTCCCAAATCTAGGTTAGATGGGATAATCCCACAATTATCTCATAGGTTCTTGACACGAATGTTTACCCATGCTTGTGTTTCGTATAATGTGTGGCTATGATTGATCTCGTAGATATTTTAATACATTTTCCGCAATGTTAATTGTATAAGAATATATTAATTTTTTATATGCTTCACGTCGCAAAACTAATAATATTTCGTGTGCGAAATCATCGGCCGGAAAATTTTCTTCGAGACTTGTGAATAAGTTGTATCTATTCAAAATTATGATCAATGTAGTTTGCAAAATTAACCGGTGCTACAGCGTGGCTGTATGTAGGGCAACGAGAAAGACGTTATAATAACTATGAATATTCAAATTAAAATAAAAAAAAGATGGCCTATGGATCTGTTCAAAAGATCCCTAAAAAATGGAAACAGGATTGGTCTCAATTCAGCTCAGTGCATTAACTTCACCGGGCAAGTTAAGGGTCGCCAGCGCTGGTACAATATTTTACGTTACAAAAATACCGAATCGATTATCGATATGCATGATCATTGTCCTAAATCATCGGATTTAAATTTCTTGGAAGGTTAACTGAATTTCCTCTTTTCAATCATTATGTGAACTGAATTTCTTCTTTTCAATTCTTTTCAATATGCTATTGAGTCGATAAATGAGAGGAAATAAAACGGTTTCGGCCTTTCTCACATTTAGACTACATGCACCTGTTCCCTTCCTCAATATGACAATAATAAATATTTGTCACTCTCGGCAATTGTTTACAGAAAATCATAAAAATACTTAAAGAGCAAATTTAGCAAACTTACCGAACGGATGTTGTTGTCTTTATTTCCAAAGTTTATCGCTTGTATATAACGTGTTGTTTAAGAATGATAAGGACTGTGAGAAAAAGGTAGATATATACCATCAATAATTGATAGCTGCATAAGTCGTTTGCATGTTATTGCTATTGTTTGCAAGTGAATTCAATTATCACAATTATATTAGTCGGGGTTTTGTTCCTTTATCATTGCAGCCGCGATGCATTGGTTCTTTATTATTGCTAAAATGCCCGTTAATTTAGGTTTATGAAAAAGTTTAAGAGTTGAGCTCGCAATATATTAGCAAAGAAATTCGCTGGAAGACTTCGTGCTGCCCACGCGTGATTTTCGTAAACTCGCGACGCAAAAGGAAAAACCGAGCCAATTTTTCAACTTGCTCTATGATAAAATCGGCACCATTATTAATTGAAATAAGATCTCCCAAACGGGCTTTTCATATCATATTAGAAATTATATATAACGGGTTAAAATATACTTTATAATATTTACATAAGTTAGAATAAAATATTAATCCTTTGAAAATATTTCAAAGCAAATGTCTTTATATGAGCTCATTATGTCGTTTCATAACTTGGTTGCTCGAAATTCTTTGCCAAGATGTCGTATTAAAAAAAGCCGGTATATCTAACTCATTCGTATTGCGTGTTTCGCGATCGTGGGCACTGGAACGGATGAAAAAATTATCACTGAGGTATCACTTGGTGCCATATCGTTACGGCATTTAAAAATTTTATAAGATCATCTGTTGAATACGCCGCACCTGTTTGGTCGAATCCGACAGTGAACTTGTCCGATCTCGTTGAAAATATCCAGAAACGTGCTCTCAGAGTAATTTACCCAGGGGCATTATGCATTATGCATTATATCACATTCAAACGTGGAGCCTCTTGCACGTCGAAGAATCAATCTTTGTCAATCTTTCATTGCGAAGCTTAAGTCAATTTCAAGTACACAAAATAACCCATTGTCACAGATCATGAACAATCCACCTGAGGTTATTCATAAAAACTACAACTACGATATCAACCAATATATTATAAACATACCTTCTACGAACACGGATAGGTTTAGAAGCTTTATTACGATTAAATATTCTTATTAATGCTTTTTTTCTTTTATATTGTAGATAATAGGTATATGCATGCAGGTTTTATTAGAAATTATTAATCAGTTACTATTCATTTTTAGCAACTTGGACAGACTTAATAATATAATTATTCTGATTGTTTATAAGCAACTATATCTACCAGTAATTACTTAGTCATATATACCGTGTAATTCAGAATTCTGCAAAGGGGTTTATTATTATAATACTTTCCCCAAGATATTCTGTTTTAGATATAAAAATCACTGGTTCAGTTCATTTCTTAATTCTTAATTCACGTGGTCGTATCTTCATCGACGTTGATTTCAGAGAATAATAATGACCTTTCCAATGGAACCAGCCAACTCCATCAGCAAACGATGTTTGTTTGCCATAATGATATAAACCATTCAAATTGGAATAAAGACAACTACGATACCACCAGGCTCCTTTGAATGTCACTGCACAGTTACGTTTTGAATCAACGTCATTTTCAGAATCTTTCGTGCTGAATGCCATATGGTTATGATATGATAACGAGTTTCCTGCTGTTCCTAACGATGACATATAAGCAAATGTTATGATTCATTCAAAAAATTATTTAGCAACAAAATTATGAATTGTCAGGAGCAAAAGGTTTTGTTGTATATGATTATGAAGATGATGTAAATTTTGAATGCCACAACCATGGAAATTTTGAAATATTTTCATTATTGGGCTAGATCGAAATAAGTGGGACACACATGTTGAGAAAGTTTGAAAATGGTATCAAGACGTAACTATATTTTCAATCACTTTAGAAGGCAAACGTTCACCAAAAAATAGTGGAATCCTTTGTTACGTGAACTCGCCAATCGCCACTAATGATTGCAAATTAATTTTTGAACTTTCTTGCGAGAGAATCTATGAGTTATAATCGGAAAGAGGAATTACTGCATAGTTATGGCCTCGTTATTGCGTCATTATATAAGGTAATGTCAGCCTTTAGACAATCTTTGCAAAGACTCTGTATTGAAGGGGTTCAGAAGTGAAATAATAGGGGCAAACATTTCAATTTTACGCTCTAATACAGACAGTAATCTATGTTCAAGAAACAATAGTCAGAGCTTTTACACGCCAAAATGTAAGAACGACTGTTTTAATTAAACTTCTCCTGTTTATATATTTAATTAACATTTACAGGTATAGTCGTGATGACTGATTTATATATATATATATATCCTTCATTTTGGGGATAAATTGTGTATAGTTGATACTATGAGATTGAGATATAACAATTCTGACCTTCAAATGCTCCAATATGTAACCGAAATTTTTGGATTTCGCTGTCGACAGTAAAATAATCATAATGAGCGTATCTGGTGTTGCCAGATGTATCTTCCATATCAATACGAAGTTCATTTTTTAAAATATTTGTCATCCTGTGTATTTTGTCTAGACCAAGCCAATATTCTCCGCTTAATTCACCAAAACCTTGTTTGTAATCTTGCCATTCTCGGTAGAAGTCAACACTTCCATCAAGACGACGTTGAAATACAGTCCATCCTCCACCTGATGTTGTCATATCACAAAACACTTTGAAACTTCCCTTTCCGTCTGGATCAATTTCATAAATCCCACTTTGTTTATTTCCCTTTTTATACAGGTCAGCACAGTTAAGGCCTTAAAAAATATAATTTTTATACGTTATTACTGCCATAAAATTGTATCTCCAATGAGTAATTGACTGTGGAAGGTTTGGTTATCACCAGAACGCGGCGGATGCCTTTAGATTTTTAGCTTTTCAGCACTGAAGGTTGCGTCGTTTTAAAACCACAACGGGCGTCCACACCTTATTTGCAGATGACTATCCTCATGGGGAGATACCAAAAAAAACAAGAGAGCAATTTTGAAAATAATGTGTAATATATCCTATTAATAGAAATTTATTCCACCCTCGTGTTTGTCATTTTGAGGGAAATTTTCCCTAATTGCGAAAGCATTGTAAAAATCGTATTTTCAGACGCCTTTCTTCGCAAGAGAACATGCGTTTATTTCGGTGATAAATTATTTTGCTGAAAATATAAAAATCCATCGCATGTGATCTGGATGATAAACGAAAATAAAGTGTAGAGAAATGGATTTACCTTTTAGAAAAAGAGAGAAATTGCCAGAAAAGGTAAGGGAACCGGTGAATGTATATATTGCAATGGTATAATTATGGGTTTCAGCAACATATGTACCCTTTGTTCGCTTTATTCAAGAGCTAGGGCAATCAAATTTCAATTTTCAACATATTCCTAGCTAAGCCTCAGTTTAATGTGTCTAGTTTTGTTTTGGTATGCTGACCAACGATGCTGACGCACGGCAGGCATTTAAAGATTAGGATTCACGTCACAGGGCAAACTTGTAGGGTGTGGTGGGGTGCAGCTTTGCTCTACTGGTTCATTATCTACAGTTATTATAATTGTAAAAATCTCTGCTAAGGATGACGTTTTTCTTAGGCCTATCTCTTAAGAATACCTGTGATACACCTTGTTCGAAAATCCTGCAAAAAAAAAAATTCCCATATTATACACTCGCAAATAAGTTTTGTGATTCTAGTCTCGTAACTTTCAGGCAGGACAGTAGCGTAGCATCGATCATATATTAATATTCACTGACTGTAAAAACAATGAATTTGTAAAAAGTGAATAACATAAAAAAGAATATCGAACTAGCGACGCCACACTCAGCACTGTTGCAAGATTGTGAATGCGCTGCCCTCATTCGTGGTGATGAAAAGTATCTTTTACACATTTCTAAGTTTATTTATTTGTCTTTCATATGACATCCATGTACGCGTCATTCAGCAAGAAAATGAACGAATTTTAGGTCGACAAAAGTCGAAAGTTGAATTTTTCTATACCCCTTGTACATGGTTTGGAGACTAAAATTAATAAAAGTACAATACAAGTAATTAACTATGTTATTGTCCAGGTTTATGCAAAAATGGTTCCTTTCTCGTCACGTGTCTATTGTATTTACCAATGGTATTCGTCTTGCAAAGCTCCTCAAACTTGACTTGAAAAATATGTTAATTATAAGATTGCTATTGGTTCATCTGTGCAAAATACAATACACATGTGATCAGAAAGGAACAATTTTTGGCATAAATCTACCTCAACATAGTTCAACTTTGACACAATTGCAACATACAACTAAGTCCGAGTTCAAGTAAAAACATCATTAGAAACACCCGATTATAACTAAGTTCAACTATGTTAGGTTGTAAAAAATCATTATGATAGCTACATATGTCAACTGCAAACCATCGATGGTGCTTTTAAGGCACTACAAATGAAAAGTAAACACGTGCGGCTGACTAGCTGAGTGGCGTCAAGTGGTAATTGTGGCTTAGTGGTTTATAGGCTGTTATCAACCAATGAGAAATTGACGTAGGCAGACTCATTAATACACAACAAAATGAAATACAATAAACATCCTACTGAACAACAAGACAGAATATTCCACAACTCATACCTTTTCAGGTTGAAGCAGATAAATATAACCAAAAGATGGGTTTAACTGCAATATTTTGTCAGATGTGTTGTAAACCAGGTTATGTAACATTTCACAATTTGGTTCTTCATTCAAGTCAAATGTTTTATTGTAGTTGATTGATCTACAACATGGCTCCTTCACACATTCAACTACGCAATTAATCCATGTCGGGGCATGCTGTGTCTTCAATATTCTTGCGTCTAGCCTGTATCCTGGAAGAGAAAACGTTTTTTGTATGTTCAACCTCATTAAATAATAATTTTTGTTAACTAACCAATCGCGAGCTAAATGGAGCCGGTAAGACCTTATGCGTTTTGGAATAATTTTTCAAGATGTTACTATAAGATTATTAGAATTGACAAGATATCTGCAGGAATGTTGTGAAATATAGAAAATTTTGTAGCTGTATGGTTTAGCCTAAGTAAAGTAGAGGTTTAAAGTGTCTATAATTCCACACGAAATTAAGACCCTTTAAACCTCTAGAGTTTACTTGCATCAAGTGAAGTGCCAAAAATCATAATTGATTTACTCTAACTATATTAGTCACATATTTCCGCAAGTAATACGAAATCAACAAAATAGCAATTCAAAAATAAAAATTTTCAACTTCGTATCTTCGCATGGTTATTTTACCCATATTTCACAAATTTTCGCAACTAAACTTTGCAATTCTATCAATCAGTTGCGGATCTAGGGGTAGTCAGAATTGAGTACACAACTAAATTTTATGGATTTTAAAGGAATATTTAAAAAATCTAACAATGCGATTTCCATTCGTAATGGTATAGTGATTTACTCTGACCACCCCTAAATCCGCCACTGCTTTCGAAGTCAGTGAGCTCTATAATCTATAGAGCATAAAGTTTTTTAAGGCTATCTTTTACATTCTCGTTCTCATGCCAAATCTGCTTTTTATTCATACAATAATAACGTAATGTCTATGTAGTGAAAAAAGTGGCGAGTTTTTAGTTTTAGTAAACTGGTTCATGCGCTGATACCAAGGTGGAAAATGAAATCGACAAACTTGAAAAACATTTTTTTATTCCTATCTAATTCTGCATTCTTATCTGAATTAGGTAAAGACACACACACAATTTTCAATTCAGCTTATTTTAATCAATTGTTTAAAAAATCTGTTACTTCACCGGATCAAGAATCAACTTTAAAATTCCCCCAATTATTTCGTCGTGCTTACCTTCAAGAGTGGAATTAAAACAGAAATCCAAACCTTCACTAGAGTGGACATGTTGAATGGCTACCCAAAGAATGCTTCGGGCAACCAGGTTGACGAGGAAACGAAGATTTATTGCAAGAAACATATTTTAAGTATCTTAGTTTCTAAGAGTCTTCCTATAATAAGAAAAGTATATAAATAATTGTTCGACCGACATAATACTAGGATAATTAATTTGGAAATATGGAATGCAAAATTTTTCTTGCACTGCAAATGAGATTTTCAAGCAATCGATACAGAATTCGTTATGCAAAATCATGAAAGTTCATGTACATTTTTCTATCCATCCAGTGAAAAAGGCAGAGACGTAACGTGCAGGTGCTACTCCCCCAGTTTTGGTAAGGTGCAGAGTCGCTTGACGCGACGTCGGTCGGTATATAATAGGGAGAATGTAGCACGGCAACACGACGATGACGCGGCTGAAATTCTCCTTTAAATAAATGCTTTGGCAAAGTGGTTGTTTTATATTATTAATTGTACCGATTCAGTGAGATCGAAAGGCGTTAAAAACATTGTGTTTATGTTTAAGGACAATTCTATAAAGCCTAATTCGAAGCAGGGCTCGCTGGGCCTGAAATGCAACCGTTGTAGGAAGACGTAAAAAACGACGTTTTTCCATTTGCAAACAGAACGAAGACGACGTCTAAAACCCATCATGGATCTTTAATTATTCATTTCTTTTCAATGACCCATTGTATTGATAGCCATCGTCGTCGCGTTCGCGTCCCTAATAGCACACAAACGTCGGTGAAAAGTATAATTTTGTAAAATTATAAAATAAGAGATAATTCGTCTCACTCGTCTGTTAATAAACCAACAAAAGGCTATATGCTTTGTTTAGACGCACTTGTGTCACGTGTTCGTCAGTAAAGATAAGATATAGTCACGCTACACTGAAGAAAAGTGTATAATACTGTTTTTCATGTACATGTTAACCCATGCATGATTATGTTTAGTTTTTGTATAATTATGTGTCTATTTTTATAGATGTCTTTGTATAGTCTTTTCTTTTTGTATATGGATGTGTAATTATGATTGATCTCTCAGAGCTAGGTGTAGCTATTAATTTTTTATGCGTCAGATCGCGATCATATTTTTTCACTCGTCATGGCGGACGGTCATGTTGTTCAAGGCCAAAATCTGTTGAAATGACCAAAAATCTGTTGAAATTATGCTACCATCCATCCCTGTTAGAAAGCTACACATCCTGTAGGCTAATTCCACTAGATAAACATCCTGGAATTCGACCAATTGGAGTGGGGGAAGTGCTGCGAAGAATAATCGGTAAGACAGTAACTTCATTCTTGAGAGAGGAGATAAGGGAAGCAGCGGGGCCATTGCAAGTTTGTGCAGGATACAGTGCTGGAGCCGAGGCAGCAATACATGCCATGAGCCATGTTTTTGAGGAAGAAGGGACTGATGGAATCCTATTAATTGATGCGACCAATGCTTTTAACCAAATGAATAGAGCGGTAGCAATGCACAATCTTCGAATAACCTGCAACAGAATGTCCATTTACATCATTAACACCTACAGATGCCCCTCCAGGCTATTCATATGTGGGGGAGGTGAGATTTTGTCGCAAGAAGGTACCACCCAAGGGGATCCTCTAGCTATGTCCTGGTACTCAATTACACAGCTATAATGATTCAAAGTTTGAAATTGAACATACCAGAAATCAAACAAGTATGGCTGGCCGATGACTCAGCGGGAGGAGGAAGATTGACACATTTATATAATTGGTATAAGCATTTGGAAGAGGAAGGAAAGAAATACGGCTATCTAGTAAATGGTCCTAAGTGTTGGCTGATAGTGAAGACGCAAGAACTGGCCAAAGAAGCAGAGCAGATCTTTGGAGAAGAAGTTAAAATTACAACAGAAGGAAAACGCCATTTGGGTGCTGTTATAGGATCAAAAGAATATAAAGATGAGTATTGTAAAGAAAAAATTCAAGGATGGGTACAGATATCTCATCACTCACGGAAATCGCGAAAAGCCAACCTCATGCAGCCTACATTGCCCTTACGAAAGCATACAAATCAAAATTTACCTACTTCATGCGAACAATTGAGGCCTTCGAAGAGTACGTAGAACCAATACATGAAACATTGAATGACATTCTCTTACCACAATTTTTTGGTCAAGAAGAACCCCTTGCGAGTGAACTTCGGGAACTTGTGACCCTAACGCCAGCTCAAGGGGGATTAGGCGTACCGAATTTGATAATAGAAGCTCCTTTGCAATATGCAGCCTCAAAATTATTTACTAATCAACATGTAAATTCAATTAAACGGCAGAGTGAGACTCTGGAACCGATAGAGCAGTCTATAGATGATCTGAAGCGAATGCAGCAAGCAAACAAAGCGGAAATTGTTAAGTCAAGAATGGATAATATTGATGCAACACTTTCTCCAGACCTACTGTTCTTGGTAAAGCAATCCAGAGACAAAGGAGCGAGTTCCTGGCTAAATGCGATTCCACTCAAAGATCAAGGTCTAGCCCTCAATAAGCAAGAATTCAGAGACTCGTTACGAATGAGATACAATTTAACTTTGAACGATTTACCAAGTCATTGCGCGTGTGGAGATCGCTTTAACATCAATCATGCCCTCTCTTGTAAAAAAGGTGGGTTCGTGGCACAAAGGCACGATGGAATCCGTAATTTGCTAACAGCGCAACTGGATAAAGTGTGTAAGAATGTGGAAATTGAGCCTCATCTTCAACCTCTTGATAATGAGAGATTTGACTTGAGATCGGCCAATATAAGTCCCGAAGCGAGATTGGACATGAAGGCGGACGGTTTCTGGCTACGTGGAGCTACTGCATTTTTTGACGTGAGAGTAACGCATGTAAACTCCCGATGTAACCAAGGCCGGCCAACCCAGAACATTTTTAAGGAACACGAGAACGAAAAGAAGAGAAAATACCAACAGAGAGTTTTAGATGTTGAAATGGGCTCCTTTACCCCACTTGTTTTCGGAACCAATGGCGGAATGGGGTCTGAATGCCACAAGTTTCTTACTCAGCTGGCGCAGAAATTAGCAGAAAGAGACCATGAACGTTATGCAGTTGTCATAGCTTGGTTGAGAACCAGAATCTCTTTCGAAATTCTAAGATCGGTACATGCGAGTGTAAGGGGATCTAGATCACCTTTTTATAGAAAAGAACTTGAAGTGGTAGACGATTTTGGACTAAATGTTAAGATTGCAGAGGTTTTTTAAAGTTTTTTAGACTTTAACTTTACGTGCGAAGTACTCCTTTTCTATAAAAATTAGGAAGAACAACAATCATTATGACTTTCGAAGACTTTGAACAGCCCATTGGAAAATGCATGGTGATTAGAATAGTTAATTTTGATCTAGTTTTATTTAGAATTCTTTTAAATATGTATATAGTTAATTTGTTGTTCAAGGCTCCTCTCCTCATATGAGAAAGAACGATATTTGTTCTTCTCAGTTAGCTGATAGTTTAGCAGCGATTGTCAATGATTCTCCACATGACATTTCATGGAGTTTAAATACTGAAAATATGTCTGCTAAGTATTCTAAATCCTTAAAGTTTGACGGAAATTTTTATCGCTGGATTGGGGATTTCAACGACTTGAGAAACTATTTTGATGAAGTCCTAGACGTAACAGGCAGATGGTCCTCTCCTAGTGGAGATGTAAAGTTATTTACAGCAAGCAACGATGAATTTTCAGTAAAATGGCAAAGATCAAAGAAGCTGGTTATACTGAGGGACAACCCAGATAAGTATTTACTAAAATCGTTTGAAAGTTTAGTTAGTGAGGAAAGGAAAGCGACTGAATTTGAAAGCGATGAGCGAGAAAATCATTCGAGTGTCGAAGACGAGTCGCATCAAGCAACGCTACTCTCAAAAATTGATAACCTGGCTGCCACTTGTAACAACAATTTCGGCCGTATATTTGAACATCTTGCAAATTTAAAATCTTCCTGTCCCGGTAGTTCGGATACCGTTTTAATAAGCTCAAGTCTACAAGAGGAAAACTCGTCGCTCAGGAACGATAACATCAACCTAAAACAGAGCTCAATAGCCTAAATCGTGTAGTGTCTGACCAGAACTCTCGTATTAAGTGCCTCGAAGAAGAAAAATCTAGTCTGCTAACTGCTATTAGACTTATTCAAATTGAGAATAATTGTGCTGCAAAACATCCATCAAATGGATCCGTAATAAACAATTCAGATCAAAAGTCAACTGCAGTCAACAAAAATAAGGATTCGTCTGTTTTGTTGTTGAAGAAAGTCTGTCTTCACCAAAAACAAAAGAGTTGAAACGCAAATATAAAAAGAAGAAATCTTCAGCAACTATTAGGGGAAAGAATCATCTGCAGGAAAATCATGCTGTTGATCCCTCTAATACTAATTTAAATTCAAACGAACCAGCTGGGCAGTCAAATCAGTCATTTAATATTCAAAAGAAAAATGACATAGATGTTAATTCATCGACTCCAGACACAGGAAATTGTCGATTGAATTCACATGCCCCTAACTTAGTTAATAATAGCGTTGAGCATGATTCGCCAAAGGAGAAATCACCTACGTATAACCACGCGAAGAAAGTGACTGTGGTTATTGGTGACTCGATGTTGAAAAATCTACAAGGCTGGCGTCTTTCCACGCCTGAGAATCATGTTGTTGTTAAAAGTTTTGCTGGTGCCACTACTTCAGATATGGAAGATTATATTAAACCAGTTATCCGGAAAGAGCCTCAAAAAGTTATTTTGCATGTTGGCACAAATGACTTAAAGAAATTATCTCCTAATCGTGTAGCGGAAGGGATTGCGAATATAGCAACTCAAATTCAAGAAGATTCGCCATCAACAGAAGTAGTTATATCAAGCTTATTGACAAGATCAGACAAGCCAGGTTTATCAACCAAAGTTAACGAAACAAACAAGTTAATTAATGCTATTTGCAGCAAAAGTAAGTGGAAGTTTATTGATCATAAATTCATTAATGCAACTTGCCTGAACTCTAGAGGCTTACACCTTAATAATAAAGGAACATCTCTACTAGCAAAGAACATATCAAACTATATCAAATCAAGCTAGGAATTTGCCGCTGGGGAGTCGGTTAGTTCGGTAGCTAGTCGTTCTTCGACGCCGAATTCTAATACTAAGTCTCTATCTAATTTTCGCAGTCGTGGGCTGTCTATTGCATGTTTAAATATTAACAGTCTTATTGCCCACATTGATCAGTTACGTATTTATATGCAAAGTATAAGGTCTAACATTGACGTACTAGCAATTAATGAAACTAAACTAGATTCCTCGATTACAAATAATCAAATTCAAATCCCCGGTTACGACGTTGTTAGAAGTGATAGACAACACCATGGTCGTAACGGTGGTGGGGTGTGTTTGTATGTTAGAAGTAATTTAAACTTTAAAGTCCGTAGTGATTTAGTAAACTCTGAACTTGAGCTACTATTTGTCCAGATTTCTAACCCTCGTTCTAAGCCTTTCCTGGTAGGGACTTGGTATAGACCTCCCAACTCTGCACAGCGTCTATTCTCTCTCTTCCAGCAGATAATTGATAAAATTGATTCCGAAAACGCCGAAATGTATCTACTAGGTGACCTAAACTGTGATTTATTAACTCAAACTCCTAATGCTAATACCCTCGAGCTTTCGGATATATTCGACATTTACAATCTTACTCAACTCATCGAGGAACCAACACGAGTGACTAGTACTTCGCAGTCTTTACTTGATCTTTGTGTTACAAACACCCCGGACAAGGTATCAGTCTCTGGTGTCCAGTCGCTTGGTATAAGTGATCACTCGCTTGTGTATCTTGTTCGCAAAACCGCATGGCAGGGAAAAACTGTAAATTCGTTTGTTCATAAACGACAATTAAAGCATTTTAACGAAAGCATATTCTTGAACGACTTATCTACGATTGATTGGAATAATTCTTGCTCGTCAGACGATCCTAATGTATGTGGTCTCAATGGTTAACAAACCTTACACAAGTCCTAGATAAGCATGCCCCTATTAAGAAGAAACGTATAGGTAAAAAGAAGTCTCCATGGATAACCTCTGCGGTTGTCCAAAAAATGAGAGCAAGGGACTATTTGAAAAAACAATATGACAAGACACGAAATACTCTTTACTGGAATCAATACAAAAATGCTCGGAATGAAGTAAATAATATTATAAAGCAAGCCAAATGTGAATACTTTAAAAACAAAATTGATGTTACTAAGAGAGATCCGAAGCAAATTTGGAGGATCATAAATGAATTAAGTTCTCGTAAAATTAGTAACGTAGCTACAGTTAAAGAAATTAAACATCCAGACAGAGTGATAACTGATCCACCTGTTATTGCGGATGCTTTTAATTCATACTTTACTTCGATAGGTGAAAATCTTGCAAGCAACATTGAACACTCAAATATTGATCCCATCTCTTTTATTAAACCTACAAACGCAGTATTTTCTTTCAGTGAAATAGAAATTCAAGATGTAACTTGTTTACTTAAAAACGTCAATTCTAACAAGGCCACTGGTCTTGACGGCATTCCTGGAAAAATCTTGAAGTTAGCTGCTGATATTTTGGCCCCTTCGTTGACAAAAATATTCAACCTTTCTCTAACCGGGGAATTTATCCAGATGATTGGAAAATTGCTAAAGTTGTTCCTGTCTTCAAAAACGGAGCAAGAAACGATTTAAACAATTACCGACCTATATCAATTATTTCGGCTGTTGCCAAAATATTCGGAAAATTAGTGCACGAACAAATTTATCGTTACCTGACGAGCAATGATTTATTGTCTAAATATCAATCGGGGTTTCGACCAAATCACAGCACTCTTACTGCCCTATTGGAGACTACTAATAGTTGGAGTGTCAATATTGACAACGGTCTCCTAAATGGAGTTGTTTTCATTGATTTGAAGAAAGCTTTCGACACCATAGACCATAACATACTTCTACTTAAATTAAAACACTATGGAGTAGATGAAATTGCTTTGACATGGTTTCACTCTTATTTATCAAATCGAAAACAGAGGTGCTTTGTTAATGGGAATCTTTCTGAAACTTGTCCAATAACTTATGGCGTCCCACAGGGCTCTATTATTGGTCCTCTTTTGTTTTTGGTCTACATCAACGACCTACCGGAATGTTTTTGAATGAGGGGTTACCAAGAATGTTTGCCGATGATACGAATATAAGTTTTCAAAGTAATAACTTTGACGACCTCGAAAGAGTTATGAATACTGAACTTGAAAAAAATAAAAAGTGGCTTAATGTTAATAAATTAAGTTTGAACATTGCCAAAACCGAATTCATGGTTATCGGTTCTCGTCAAAGACTATCAACTTTCGATGACCATGATATTAATGTTATTGTCGATAAGAAACAAATCGAAAAGGTAGAGAGTACTAAATCACTAGGACTTTCTATTGACGAAAACTTGACCTGGAAAAAACATATTGACGATATTTCTAAAAAAGTATCATCAGGAATAAGTGCTTTAAAACGAATAAGAAGTTTTGTCAACCAGGATACAGCAGTTAGAGTGTATCAGGGATTAATTGAGCCATATTTTTCATATTGTGCTCCTGTTTGGGACGGCATTGGTAGTAAATTGAGCGACAAACTTCAAAAACTCCAAAATAGAGCTGCACGTGTTATAACTTGCTCTCCCTATGATGCCTCCTCTAGCTCTGTTCTTGAAAAACTTGGTTGGAATAACTTGCATGTCAACCGTAAAATGCAAAAAGCGATTCTGATGTATAAAGTCAGGAACAATTTAACACCTATGTATTTACAAGATTTGTTTGTCACTAGAGTTAATCACTATAGTCTCAGAAATACAAATGGCAAACTATTCGTTCCTAAACCTAAAACTGACTATCTTAAACGTTCCTTCAGTTTTAGTGGAGCTTCAATATGGAATAGCTTGCCTGAGCCCTTGCGTCTCTCTGAATCTCTTTCTTCATTTAAAAGATCTCTAAGAATTAATTGTAATTCTATTTAGCTTAATCCGACCCCCACACGGCAACCTGGTAGAACAGTAGTTTTTATATATCGTTACATAATTTATATACTATAGTTTAGAGTAATTTATCATCTTTACATGTATTTTACTGAATGGTTTACCGTGTTTTAAATAAAGGCGATGTATGTATGTATGTATGTAACTAATAATGTATTTATATAAACTACCGGAAAAGTTCGCCGAAATTAAACCGAATGATTACCAAAAACAATGAAATTTATAAAATGGTAGGGGCCTAAATCAATTTTACTAAATAATTCAGAACTCTTTGGCGTGTCCGCCATCCTCGGAAAACTTTCAGCGAGATTTTTCATTTGTGTGTATTCAAAATTTAGAGCATGGTATAGTTTGGAAAACAAACCACTGCTTAGGGCTGTAGGGCAAGGTTCTTGAAAGACGTGATACTAACTTTTAATATTGGGGGGTTTTGTAATTACCAATGGATTGGTTTGATCAAAACATGTCTTAAAAATTAACAAAAAACTCACTGTTTTTTGTTACTGCATTAAGACATGTCTGTTCTATCAAATCTTTTAAAATAAACTCATTTTTAACACAAAATAGGCACTCTTGGAGACTCAATATATTCAAATGTATATAGTGGGTATATCTGCATGTCGGACGGAATATGATGGCTGGTATATTTGAAATGGACGTAATGGATTAGTGTCTACCCACAACTCTTTATATCAACTCGACCTGTCTAGGGTCGCAAGCCCTTGTACTTTTTGCGCTGTCAATATGCAATGGTGGTTAACGTTATACAACCGATCTGATGTCCAATTTTTGTGATTAATATAGTATACTTAATGGCAAAAACAATTGACTGTTTATCGGCATCCATGATATTTTCCCAATTCATCGAATTTATATATCTTAAGAGTGAACAGCATTTCTTTTTTTTCAACATTTTGTGTCCATTTTCAAGAAGCTATCGGGTTGATAATTGCGATAAATGAGAGAAAATAAACTACAGCTAGTATAAAGTTTTCTTTAATAAAATATAATTGGCCTTTCTCACATTTAGACAGCATCTGCTCCATTAGAAATAATTGCACTTCACTACCGGCAATTTTTTATAGAAAATCACAAAAGTACTTATAAACTTACCAAACAGATGTTGTTGCCTTTATTTCGAAACTTATTCGCTTGTATAACGTCTAGACGTTAGTTCAACAAGTTTGTTGAGAATAATTAAGGACGGTGAAAAATAGGTAGATATATACGTATATACCATCAATAATTGATAACTGCCTAAGTCGTTTGCTATTATTTGCAGGTGAATTCAATTATCACTATTATATCTGTCGGCATTTTGTCCTTTTAATTTTTCTGCCGGCGATACATTGCTTCATTATTTCTAATATGTTAATTTAGCCTGTTAATTTACATTGATGAAAATATTTAATTGAGCACGCGATATATATTAGCCAGGGAAGCCTGATCACATTATTTTTTTGACTCGACTTGGGATCAATTTTCCATGCGAAGGCTCTTCTAGAATTGTTGTCTCGACTTCTCGATATGATGGATTAAGAGTTCTCCTTATTGCTACCAATAAAGCAATATTTTAACACGACATGTGATTGTAATAATTACGAAACAGTAATTGTTTTTGCTTGGAGTTCGATTTTGCTAATTTTGGTGATTTGCCAAAAATACGCAAAAAGAACTTTGTCGCGTGAACCCTTGCAGTGGCCTTCCTTATTTCACAAAATGACATAAATAAAAAATAGACAGAAGCTTAGAGAACTTGAGATGTCTTTTGAAAATTTGAGGGGATTTATTGCAAGAATGCTGAGAGCTGCATTTTCACATCCGAGACACGATGATTATCAGAGGTTATATTAAGTTCTGACAGACTTAGAGTTATCAGGTGCAAGTTGATAACAGATTTACGCGGTATTTTTCTCGGCTATTCATCGATATAGAGCAAACAAGATTCGTTGCATAACGTGCGTTAACTGAGTTTGAAGGATAGGCAAGTGGAGCTCAGGGGGCTTGGGGAGGTCTGATGCACGCCAAAGAGACATTTAAATCTGAAAAGAGAATCAAATTTAGAATCGAATTTCACTAACGTTCAAACAATTTTTGCTGAAACAATTAACTTTTTTCAGTCGGCATGTCTGCGGTAATGTACTATTTTACTTATGTATTCTTTTACTTCTAAATTTCTTAGTACAGTCCGGAAATAACATAATGAACAGCTGAGAACGACAACACAAAAACCAAATCGAAAAAAACTCTTTTACTTATGTATTTTTTTACTTCTATATTTCTTATAGTAGTTTAAACCGTGGAAAAAACTGGGAAACTGCCGGGAAACATAAGAAAACATTTTTGGTAAGCTCGGTGTAGTAAAATATACGCCATTCTTATATCCTAATTTTTGATAATCTACAATAATAATGATGTGGAATGATTTCTCTAGCTAGATAGAAAATTCCCTAACTGTGGATAAAGTGAGTCACCCTTGGGAGACGAAGGCCTTAGAGGGGGGGGGAGTTAACTAATAGGAACCACCAATCAAAAAGCCACAACAAATGCAGCGGTGATTTGATGGAATAATCTTCAATCATTATTATGCATGTATAAATCTAAGTCCTTTTACGAACAGAAGTTTAACTTTTTACTCTCGACTTGCTCTTTTTCTAATCAAGAGTACAGTCCGGAAATAACATAGTGAACACCTGAGAACGACAACACAAAAACCAAATGGAAAAAAAATAATAAATGTCTGTCAGACCGAGTTAGGCCGTGGTCTAACCTCCGTCTCACCGCGGTTCAGCGTCGGTCTGACCTCGGATCAATCGCGGTCAGACCGAGATTTGACCTAAGTTAACCGGGGTTTTTGTTAGGTTATTTCTGATGAGTACTGTGTGTGCCTATAGGAAGCCTATGGGAACACCTTTGAAAATTTGTTGGGAACAAATTAGAAACCAATTGCAAGAATATAGTTTTCTAAGGGTATATATAGCATGCAAAATTAATTTTCACTGACTGAATTATACTACGAACGATATCCATGAATGATGCACTATTTTCACTGACTACAAACTGGTGGAATTCAAGGTTCTGTAGCATATAGAAAAACAATCCTATCTGCGATAGGAGATGATCTTTATGGATTATATAATGAGATAATAAAAGATGTTGTAATTATTTGTCTACAATATCCAGGTGCAACGGAAATCGTTATTTCACTTGATTATGAATGCAAAAACTTTAGTTTTGTAAATCATTTTTTAATTGCAATACAAACACATCACAAAGGAACATCTGTTTTTGAACTAAATAAGATTATTGCTATTTCTCACGGTTATCAATATTACAGCTTATTGTTTTCTAATTACTTTTCAGTAAAACTAATTTTTTTGAATTTATACGCAACAATTCAGATGATTTTATTTCAAATACACACATGAATTTCAATGAATTGATCTTTGTGTAAAAAACTTTAGGAATGACATATAATTTTATGACACGGTATAAATTTAGTTATAACTTGACTAAAACTGCCGCATTTTCTTGTGATTTTACTGTATGAAATGCATGAAAGTAAAAGAAACCTTCTCTTCTTTCTTGATATTATGTCTGTGAAGTTTATCATCTTAGATTACTTTCATATATCGTTCCTCACCATTATGCCATTTTCATCCTATAGGGCCAGTTGTAGGCCTACGAGGAACGGCTGATAAGCCGTAGCTAAATAACGCTTTCATTTATGTTTTAAACGATTGAACTTACATCTGATATGCCATATGTGTAGTTGTAAACGCTATTGTGGTATTCACGTCGAATAACTTTAGTTTTCGTTTTGATAAATACTTGGTCGTAGTGATATATCCAAATATAAGTAATTTATGAACTGACTTACCGCGCGTCTTCAAATTAAACAACTTTACATCAAACGCAGTGGTGGATTCAGGGCAATTTGGCGACCAAAATTTAAAGATATACCTTAATATAACAAGGCTTATTAATTAGTCGAGCTATTGGTTATTCATGCATTCTAAAGAATTTTTTACATAAAAATCTAAATCCAATATGACATTTGGTGTTGAAAGTCGTAGTATTTGATATATTTTGCTTACCTTGCCTGGATTCGTGGATCTGCCGTTGAAATGTACATGAGGATTCCGGGCATCCTAAGGAATAAGGGCCTTTGTCAAGAGATTATAACATAATAACCTAAAAATTTAAGTGGAGGAGAGTTGAAAAGCTGAACGAAAAATTCTTGTAAGATAAATTGGGAGCGGGGGATCCTCGAAGGCGATGATTTCAGCTGTTAATTTTCCAGAGTGACGAGTAACAATTTTCCAAATTGTCCGAAACGTTTCTAGATTAAGCTAAATGATTTACGTCCAGACATCCTGTGTGCTCACACAAGCTGGCTTAATTATTTAATTTCGTGCCCTCGTCCTGAGAACATACTCATGAATGCGACTAAAAAATCTTCTAGAGTGCGGTCCCTTAATGTGATGCCGATTTCCGATCGAGTGATTTCTGTGCCTAAATATAAAATAATTTTGATGTTGTTTCTTTAGTCGGTCTAGTGAAATATAGCGTCGGCGATCGTGTGCACCTGGCTCTAATTTAAGACTTGCGCTTTAATTAGACTAATTTCTTACACCGGCGATAAAGAGGAAAGTTACTAAAATTAGTAAAACTGTCAAGTTTGGCTGCGATTTGTTGTAACTTACGGAAAATATAGCCATGTATGCGAAGTTGACGAATTTTGTATACTTTTGTATTTGTTTTGTATAAGTTTGTAATTAATTTAGTTACACATTTCCGCACGTAATACAAAAGTGTACAAAATATGCGAAATTCGCATAGCTATATTTTCCGTATTTTACAACATTTCGCAGCCAAACTTTGCATTTGCACTTATTTAAGTATGCTCTTTGATTGTTACTTGAATAAAAAATTAGTCTAAAGCGCAAATCGTCCATATCATAACCACTCATTATCCCTCCCTTATCAATAAAACTCAAGTTGTTTTATTTCAGCAAGATATGTTTCAAGACTCTAAATAAAGAGCGTTAAAAAATTAATGCCCCAGTGCAGGAGCTACCCGTTTGTTTCTAAGATTGGTATAGTTCAAAAACAGGGTTCGTAGTCACAGAGACGCTCAACAGTTCAAAGACTTTCGGCAACTATGAATTATTTGATCTATTCAACTATGAAGAATTTGGGAAAATTATACATTTAAGTACCTTCATACTAACGTAATTTGTACGATTGTATTAAAGAGTGCAGCAGTTGTTGACTTGCAATTTCCTGATTAGTTTGCCATCTGGCATTTTCCGTCGCCATAAATTGAGCAGTATATAAGCTGGACAATATTGCTTTCAGACCCATTCATAATTGGGCATTCGCGGCAGAAGACCGGACTAAGAAAAATATTGGAAACCTACAGGTTTGTTTGTAAGTAAATGTGTACAAGAAAACGATAACGTTGTATAGACTTTTCTCTTACATCTGTACAATCATTTAAGTATATGAACAAGTAAAATATCTAAAGGCTATTAATTTTTTTACACTATGCGATTTGTCGTATACGATCCGTACCCTGACGTATGTGAACGAATAAACACACGTACAAACGTGACACTTTAAATTCCATCCTGACCAGAATTGAATGAAGATTATAGCATATAGGCGCTCTTTTGCATTCGTCAAAATGACAATTGCATACAACTTATCGTGTATAGTTTAGTAAATAAGCCTTAAGTAAAATATTTCATGCTCGTGTTCATCGGCTACTGAAAATCCGAGGATTAAGCATTTCTAAACGTGCTGTATAGCCTATATATATCACTAATATATAATGCATGTTTTTGACAAAATTATAATAATACCAATAAATATCAGTAATAGCATTAAAAATAAATTATATAACGGTTGTGTCAGGAATGTTTATAAAAGGGCTTGTGAAAAAACATAAATACTTAAAGATGCTACTTAAAGATTCTTTCGAATTCATTGCAAACATTTGTATGAATTGTTTATTTTACCAGATAGAAGCAAAATGAAAGTTATTACGGTGTTTTTCTTCATTCTTCCGATGTTCTTTGAAGGTATGTATAAGAAAAATAACTTTACTTTGTAAAACGCAAAATAAACAAAGAAATATCTAGAACATGAGATATTCTGTGCAATTCATCGAACGCTTTTTAATATCCGTCACAGTCGATATAAACAAGTAAATCTTATCACAAGACAAATTATTAGTATTAGAAGAGATTATTTTCACAAATAAGACACGTCATTCATGACATCATTGTGACTGTCAATGCACAGTCATGGAAACAAACTTTTTACAGTTTGAAAAGAACCACAGTGAGCCACAAGATTAAAAAAAATTAACTGTCATTCAATGGAACAATTCGATAGAAATGCTATTTTTGTTTCACCATTCCATGCGTTTACAAGTATTTTTAATTTCTGAATAAAGGAAACATTTTCATTCTCGTTTTAAGTATCGGACGCAACAAAATGCGACTGCAAGCATGAATACAGAAGAGTGGGGTGTTTTAAGGATAAGAGAAATGATAGAACTCTACCGGAGATGCTGACGAATGAAAGAGACCAAACAAGTAACTATTACCATGGCCATACCATCGATTGGTTCAAGTGGTCTACATACATGCCAGAAATGGTGTGTCGCTGTGCTGGACTGGCTGCGAAGAAAGGGCATAGATATTTCGCCATCCAATTCTGGGGTGAGTCAAGAGGCTGTATTTTTTATGTCTGAACTTTTCTGTCTTTAAACACCTTTGTATAACCAAATCCAGTTGTGTAAAAGACTAGTTAACTTTTAACTGTGTGAAAGTATTTTGGTCACAGTATTTGTAATTCTGCATGAAGGTCTTATGAATTATATACTAATTATTCATATATTAACTTTGATAACTTAACTAGCACTCATAACTTCGTTGCACACCCATAAAAATATGTATATGCAGATCAGCCACCGTATTTTAAATATTACTTATAAGGACAGAGTACTTCATGTGTTGGCCAATCAGAGTCTAAGTGAAGTCTATGCAAGATGTAGTTAAAGAGTTTTATAGAACCAGCCCCAGTTATTTTTTTTCAAATTTAACTAAATTCTAACAATTTTAATTGGCTACTAACTAAGAACAAGCATACAATTATATAAGGATTAACGGTTCTCGTTCGTACTCTTAATCCCGAATTGTAGTCAATAGCTATATCGCATGTCATTTGAAAATCAGACTTACCACTGACAAATCAAGTTGCCACAATAAATAATTCAATTATATAGGGGAATGTTGGAGTGGTCCAGCAACTGATAAGAACGATATCTCGAAACATGGAAAAGGCATAGATTGTTACGGACCAGAATACAAGCGGTGTAAAAAAAGTGATGAAAACTGCGTCGGTTCAACCGCGCACAATTTCGTGTATGGTATGTTTGTAGTTAGTTGTAAATCATTGATAGTTTGTAGTTAGCATTGATAGTTTTAGCGTTGGGACATTTTAGGGAATCTATAGGAACTTTATTATTTTTACTACAAATACCCCTATAAATACCCCGAGTACAGGCCATGGACTTACATTTTGAAGTTTAAATTAACCTAATTCAACTTTTGGCATTATGTTAGACCAAATTTGACAGCTTTTTTGAAAGTATATTTTGTCTAAAATGCATGCAATTATTGCACGATTGAAAGAGAGAAAGAAAAAAATTTAATGTCAGGGAACTTCGTAAAAATACCAAGTTGGCCAAGGATTTCTTACTATTGTTTAATGGTTGAAGATAAAGGCCGCGAGCAGAGGCGATCATCGCTTAGGGATTTAAGGCTTACGAGGAATAGGCTTTGTGGTTCTTGTTAAAAACTATTTTTTTTTTCACTGATATTTTTGAAAAATTCTGCTGCTACTGTGTTTATCAATTATTTTTGTTGCTATTATTTTAACTAAATTACTCAATTTATCTTTTACGTAAATCGTTAATTTCAAAAAGAAACTTATCCATGCGACGTCAATTTTGAAAAGATTGGCTGCTTCAGCGATAGATCTCGACCTCGACCTCAGCAAGGGAATGATCTTATCCTGACGGCACGCCAGAAAAATACGCGTGCCGAATTCTTTGGATGGATTGACTGGTGGAATTATGACATTTTTCTCAGAAAATTTGCTTGTAAGTGTGCTAAGAAAACGGCTGAAAATGGACATTCGACATTTGGAATGCAGTTTTACGGTAAGTCAATTAATTTTGGGCTTTCGACATTACCTGAAATTCAGGTAATATATAATAGTTAGTTCCTGAAATGATATTACTGGGGAATCTGTTAAAGGTAATAATAAAAATATGAAAAAAAATCATAAAAGTACTGAGTTTCTGCCCGTCTTAAATCGAAGTCCGCAACTGTAATATGTAAGATAGAAGGTCTGCCACTATGCAAGGATCCAACACGGCATTAACCTTTCAGTTTAATAATTTAGAGAAAAAAATGAGACAATGTATATGGGCCTTATCAGTTCCACGGGCGGTTTTTCTCGGCGAAATGCGAAATATTTCGCAAATTTCTTTTGGATTTCGACCACTTGAAAAAATTAATTCTGCTTCATTGCTCACAATTCAAAAGAAGATTTCGCATTTCGCTTGAGAATTTAGCCTGTGGAATTGGGGCTTAAGACGAGTGAATATATCGATATCATGCATAATTACTCGGTGTTATAAATTAGTAAACATGGTAATTTCTTTCGCAGGAGAATGTTGGGCCGGATTGAAATTTGAGAAAAGATATTACATAAAGCAAGGGAGATCTAATGCATGTATAAACAAATGCTATAAACGATGTCGACGTTCAGATCCACTCTGCATGGGCAGAGGTCTTACCAATGCCGTCTTCCGCATAAGTAAGTGTGAATTTATTTTTATTCTTTATCCAATAGGCATTGTAAATGATGGCAGCTAATTGACCGAATGGCGTACAATTTTGTGTAAAATTAAGCGACTTTGAAGCGGGAAGCATATGTAATACAAGTAACAAGTTTGATACCATGTTTAACTGAATTGCCTGATACGAAATACCTTCCATTATCATTTCATCTGATATTCATTTTGAAGACACATTAGTGAATTTATGAGCCAGAAGCGTATTTGGGCTGTCTTTCTATTTTTATACGCAGATTGAGCTTGCATTAATTGGGTCAAGCGGGTTTGTTATTTATCAAAACCCAGCAGAAAGCTGAGTGAAGAGCAACTCATAAGTAATTTAGCTTGTAGGTACACCACGTAAGTATTTATTACCGCAAGTTTCGGTTCATTAACCCGGGCTTTCAACAGTGCAGTAAAAACCAACAAGCTAAATTACTTTTTTCACCATGCCAACATACAAGAATATCAACTTACAGCGAGTTTCTTCTTTTGATAAATGTGAACGAGTGAATTAGTTACGCATGTTCAAGTAAGAGCTCGTACACATCAGATCATTCGTAACTATTTACTCGTTCACATCTATCGAAAGAAGAAAATAACTTTTTGAAGTTAAAGGAAAGGTGTAATAGCCTTTCACAGTTGGTTATTTCTTTGCATAACTGACAAAACGGTACATCGGCCACCGTCCATATGGACAACTTTTGATCCGCTATGTTCTCCCGGGTTCCGGGTGTAACTCCTAATCTCCGAGCGGAATTAGTATCCTCACAGGCGCTCGGAGAAAAGACCTAATTTCAAAGGTCGCATGTCCAGGTGCGCCGCACGTGATTAAAGTTATTATTTCCCGTGGGAAAAACACATTATTTCCTCTTATTATTTCTCTTTCTCTTATTATAACTCTTTCCACATTATTTCTTGCGTAAATGGCTCTCGAGCAATGAAACGCTACGAACATGAAACTTTGAAAAGTGGTATACAATATGATTATATAGTTCTAAATACCCTGTTTATCACATTCTTGCAGCTTCTCCATGCCAAATGAAATACAATGGTTTGGGTTGTTACCAAGCAACAAAAAAAGACTTGAACATGGAATGGAAGCTTTTACTGAACGAGGTATCCCCAAGAGGTAGAAGATTTAGAGGCAACCTGCTGCAATTTGATGACTCCTGGGATGAGATGTTTACTAAATTCCTATGTCGTTGCGCACATGCTGCCAAGGATGCAAAATACGGTCACTTCGCTATTCGTAAAAAAGGTAAGAAGGAGCCTGATCAATTACCTCACCGTAGTTAGCATTAAGTTAATGATTGCATTTTTTGAACTATACCATTTTTAAAACTATACCAGTAAATGTTTCTACGAACAACACAACTTCTTGCGATTTACGATATTTCTCGCACAATTAAGGCACAATTTCAATCTTAAAATTCCTTTTGCAAGTCGCGCTTGTCCCATTCATCAACACAACCAACTTTTTCCAAGAAATATTCGTCCTTTCAAATGCAAAATGAAATATTAAAGCAAAATGAAATATTAAAACACAGGACAGTGTTGGGGTGGTCCAAAATCTGGATGGAAGGAAAACATGTTTGAGGAGAGCACAAATTGTGTTAAAAGAAAATCTGAAACCTGCGATGATAATATGAAATGTGCTGGGAGGGGCGACAGTATTAGTCTCTTTGAATTGGCTGTTGAATAGAAGAACGTACAAAATCATTCAGACGACATTTGGAACAAAACGGTTAGTTATTATTTACAGTTCTTCTTCAGTTTTCTTCCCCACTTATCCTGTGCACACTGACGATGCTTGATCTTATCCATTGACAAAAATTTCGCAAAGTTTTCTAGTTGTATTTCCATTAATGAGATATTACTAATAAAACTTTAGTTTGTCTTATAAAAAGGCCACTTAGCCTAAGACTATTTATGAATCTGTTTAATCAATCTATAGTTTCTTCTTTTGCGAGATATTGTTAAAAATTATACTATTAGGTATAGTGTGTCGGAAAAAAAGCATTTGGAAATCGTTATATAGCCGTCCAAGAGTAGTTTTATACGTTTATTCCCCTTGTGACGTCATAAAACCACGACGCTAAATAATGATAAAACGATTGATTCCAGATGGCAGCTAGGTCACTCGTTTCAAAAATTAGAGAAGATTGAAAAAAATCGATAAATGAGCTTTAAACATAATCTTAAATGTTCTTTCATGTAAAATAAACTATATTTTCGTTGGCAATATATACCCTTTAAAACCCGTCCATCTTCTATTTTTTAGGTAATAGACATGGCGATAACACGGACAATCGAGTTTAAAATTACATTATATTCATATAATAATTAATATTGTAGCTGGTGGAATTAAATTAGATTTACTGCATTTAATATTTTTGTCTTATTTTGTTTTCTTAATGAGTGCAATTTGAAGCAGAAGTTTATTCTGCAAATGACGCTAGACAAGGCAACGTCGCCAACGTCATCAGTGGACTATTTTATTTCTAGGGCCGGTTGTACGAAGGATGGATAGCGCTTTCTACTGGATAGTGATTTTTTCAGCCGTTCCAAAAATCCATGAAAAGCAAAAAAATTCAGCTTTGGAATGAAAAATTATTAACGAGAATCCTCAATTTAGAAATACTAAAATTTAATCAAAGTTATACCCAACAACAGTCGATTTTAAAGCAAATGAAAAAACAAGTATCGGGCGGTGGATAGCGCTATCTTTGTACAACAAGCCCCTGGTGTCTTAAAGTGTTCTCCCAGAGATTGCCTACAAACATTAGTAAAATTGCAAAGTTTGGCGGTTATGAGAAGAAATGTAGAAATTGTTACCATATAAATTATGCATTTGAGGTAGAAAATGAGTAACAATTTACCGACATGCAATACAAAATTATAAATCTTTCTTATGCGACAAAGAGTGCAATTTAAAATATTTTAATGTTAAGCGAAATTGCCCAATCATTTACCATTAGCAGCCAAATTAGCGGGATATTCGGCAACATTCTGGTTTTCAAGCTGACCTGTGTCCTACCGGATTTGAACCTCCATTAAGTTTGCGCGCCTCGGGCAAGCGGCATACACAACAACATTTTATTAACCGACCGCGAGGCCCTTACCATGAAATGTCGGACCGAGGTCTTTCTGTATGCACTGAGCGGGAAGTTTCTGAAGACCGGGAAAAAACACGATACAGCTTCTAGTCGCATCTTTAAAATAAAGTTTCTTTTTCTTCATGCTCCTCACGGAGGAGGTCTTATAAGAGGCCTTTCATGAGGCAATGAACTAAGACAGAGAATCATATAATATGCAAAGAAATATACGATTACTGTTCTAAGAAAAGAAGTTTCACTCATGCGGCTGGTCAATATTGGTTTTCAGTTTTTAAAATACAAGGCATGCGCGCAGCAGGGGGACATGTCCCAGTGCTCGGAAGCTTTCGTCCAATTGGATAATGCTTTTCTATGCTTTCTAAAGAACGAAGCTATGCTATTGGTTGAAACAGAAATGTATTGTAAAGTTCAGCGACCTACCCGTAGCAGGAGGCCCGGGGGAAACTTGGGACGCAAGAAATGCTTCGTGGGTTGTAAAATTTTCCTCAAGCTATCGAAATTCAAATTAATCTAGTCATACAAGAATTGCTCTGGGAATTTTTAATTTGAGCACTCAGTTGTTAATTAAACTTTGTTCTCGTGCGCCATCTTTAACTACGGTACGTACCCTCGAAATAGTGACGTCACCGTCAAGTGTGAGCGATGACCTGGTGAAGACTGAAGATTGAATGCACGAAACTAATAGCTAGACCTTTTTCATAATGACGTCAAACGCGAAAAGTTTGAGTGGCTCGATAGTCTGTGAAGCCAAATTAAATATCGTGTGACATCAGACTTTCCGCGTTTGACGTCATTATAAGAAAGGTCTATTGAACAGTCAGTATTTAGCAACATGCTATTAAAACTTTACCAATTACTGGTTTAAATTTAGCAAAACACCCCAAATCTGCGATGCGGTTAACTCGACGTTGTTAGTCCAATATTTTGCTTGAAATAAGCTGGAGAAAATTAATTATGCTGCCAGGAATTTAATTAAGTAATTATACAAACGTTTCAATTGTGATAAGAGCCTCTGATTTAACTGATATTGCCGTTTTATACAAGCTGTAAAACAGCTATCATCATGTTCTAACGGGTATAATTATTTTCTTTGCCAAACATTAGATGACTGACAAATATATCTCTTATCGGTGTGAATGAGGTATTTCAGATGAGGTATTTTCTACCAATATGTGAAGTCGGAAGAATTGGCCAAAGAAAATTAATTCGTGTATTTAAGGGGATATTCATTCACGACCTACGTATAAAGCATTGGAATTTGCTCATATAACCTTTTTATTTATTAAAACAAACAGCAAAAAGTGGCATTAATTACCCTCTGTTAACATATGAATGCCCCGAAATTTAATTCCAATAATATGTTTTATATGATTACATGAGTGCACTTGCATGTTGCACTTGCATGTGATCAGAATGCATGAAAACACTAACAATAAACGATTTCCTTAGTTTCGTTTATCAGGCACTGCGCTTCCTGAACCCACGGAATGCATTCAAATTCAGTTTAAATCTCTTTTAGTGCAATAGACTAAATATAGAGATATTCAACTTCGAAAAAGGTCTGTCATGCAATTTCTAAAAAAAGGCTTTCCTTTTTGGTATTGTCCTATATGTACAATCCAACACTTCTGGAGGATTAGTATAATATAATATAATTTATATATTCGACTAACGCTTTGTAGGTTAGGAAGTTACAGAGGGTAAAAACATTATAATATAAGATTGTCATCGTATATTTTCAGATTTCATGAGGGGATTCTTTAAAATAGAAGAGTCATTTTAAAATCATGCAGGGAAAACGTGGGGAAAAGATGTACGTTTTCTCATTTTAGTTGATTTAAGAGGAGCTAGAGGGTTGCATCATTTTCTCCGACTTTTACATGTAGCTAAATATACGAAAAACTTCTCGGATGAGCAACTTTTATTTGAGCGAGTTTTTTTGTACAAATATCCTTTAAAGCTATAAGAATTTCACATATGTCTTTTAAAGCCCTATCATGCATTATCAAGTAAATGAAAAATACTTGAGTCATTAGCCTATAGTTTTAGTGTAGCATAATTACTAGGTTGAGGCCGGTTGTACGAAGGTTGGATAGCGCTATCCACCGGATAGCGGGTTTTTTCAATCGCTTTAAAATCGCCCGTTGTTAGAAATAACTTTGATTAAATCTTGTAGCATTCCTAAATTGAGAATCCTCTTTGACAATTGTTAGTTTCAAAGCAGAAATTTGATTGCGTTCCAAGCATTTTTAGAGCGGTTGAAAACATCACTATCCGCGGTGGATAGCGCTATCCATACAGCCTTCGCCTACAACCGATCCCTACTGCCGAAGTCAAAATCTCAAACCTTCAGCAGCAACCTTGTGAAACTAAAAAACAGACTTTGTCATTCAGCGGCAAAAAATGATCGATTCGTTTGTCATATTTATAAACACACGGCAACATTCAGAATTCCAATTGTTGTACCGTTTAATATAGAAAATATTATACTATAATATTATTGAATATAGTATAATAGCATTCAGTTAAACTCACTATTCAAAAACGTATCAACGAGATAAAAAATTGAAATTTTTCCTTATTTCAATGTTATACTTAGATTAACATAACATGTCTATATATCATCGTGTACACAGTACCTGTATAAACTACACAGCAAAACCAGAGGAGTTGTTTTGAACATTAGCAAAGTGTTGATTCAAAAGATATAATGCTTGTGATTTTATCAAGCTATAGAGGTCATTTTGAGCTACTCTTTGACGTTCTTTCAACCACAGAGTACACATGCGGTTGAAATTTTGCCCAGCTATCTTGCATATTCATTAACAAGTGAATTAATATTCAAATATCGGCTCATTCCCACTTATTAAAATTTATTTGAAATCCACAAATACATCGCATGACATGACTTCATATTAAGTATTTTCCTTTCGAGACTTTTCCAGAATATCGCTGATTCATCCGTATATAATTTCCGCCTTTCCTGACGATCGCAAGGATCAAACAAGTCTTTATCGAATATTCCTCATTTCGTTCGTATTATTTGTGATCATTTGAATACAATGTTTTATCGGAGCAACAATGAAATGTATTTCAAACATGTGTTTCATGATTTTCATCCCAGCTACGCTGAAATTTATTTCAAACACGTCTCCCAAAATCAACGTCTTCCGCTGCTATCTCCCCGCTTTACCAGACTTTGTCCTTTGAGTTGTATTTGTTTTGCTTGTATTATTTGTAGACACTTGATCAGACCAACTAACTGAATTACTGCCTCCGAGACTTTTCCTTCGCCCGGTTGCTAAAATTCCGCTTGGTTCGCCTTGGAAATCAGTTGCTTCGTGAATTGGCGACAACGCTCGCTTGCCCGGCGTCGGGGAACGACCTACTGACCGTGATCTTGGCAAATTTGGCGACTGACTGCCTTTGTTATTGTTTGCAGTCTTCCCTATGGGCAGGCTAGCGATCTTATAGTTTGCTTGATGGCTGTACATTCGAGGTATGTTCCGATACGGATCATTTGGGGCCGGTACATTCAGTTTTTCCTGGGTTTCTCGTGATGGTACAGGAGTAGGCGATGTTGAGCCAGGTCGAGTACGTGTTCTGCCGTTGCTCAAAGCAAACAACTTCTTCTTAGACAAAGGAGTGAGAACTTTAACAGTAATTATTAATCGTTTCGCCATTTGCATAAGTGCACTGACATCGTCAACGTTCATTCCGCGTACGTCTACTTTATTCACGCGTATTATTTCGTCCCCGACTCTCAACAACTCGAAATTATCGACATCGGTGCCTAGAACAAGTCTCGAAATAAATATCCCGTCTGTTCTCGTCCAGCCATCACCTTGCCGAATTAAAAAACCCAACGAATCACCAGGCTTATGCGGTAAATCAATTGTCCGATGTAAAAAACTTCCCTGTTTCGAGCATATCTCTTTCACTCCTAAAATTCTACGAAATGAGTTCGGAACAATCTTTATTGATAGCAACGAATGAGTATCGCCTTTCGTATCGGGATTTGTGATATCTTGAGCGTTTCTGACAGCAAAGAAATCGTCTTGTTGCTCCGCATCTTTCATTTTCACAAAATCGTCTTGAGACAGACTGCTAAAGCGTCGAATACGTTCAACTAACTGATCCTCAGGTCCCTTGCGTGCTCGGTTCCTTCCTTGACCGTTACTGGCGAGGTTTCCGTTCGACAACGGATTGCTGTGTGTCGGATCTCCCCTTTGTAGAGCCATAGTCATTGCTTCAACTCGCCATAATTTGACTTTACAAATAAAACTCTGAGGTAGATAATTATACATTATTCACATAGCCAATCAGCTGATCGCGCTGGCGACAGGTGTACAAACATTCCCCGCCAACACTTTCTACCTACGTGCTCCATTCAATAGTACACACTGACTAAATTATCGCAGCGTTATGACGTAGAAACGGTCTACTTTTAGACTCATTGTGTTATATATTTAGCAAGCTTAACGAACATTGCTCTACCGCGGGGGAAATGTATGTTGTGCATGTCTAATTGTGATATAGCGGATAAAACACAATGAATATCAGTTTCGGTAAAGTTGTGCAAAGCCACAATGAAGCCTATTTGTCAGGTTATACATCCAGAACTGAGATTTTATTCAAACGCGTGTTTTCACGAGTCTGAACTGAAAGCTTTTCATTGTATGCCCAAGTTAATGGATTTTACCACGATTCCATTCTTCTACAATTATTTCTAGTATCATCGTAATATTTTTCACTGCATGCTTCAAATGAGGGTTCCCTTCTCGACTTCTCTAGAACTGTTGCGAAATATTTCACAGCTCTATTTATAGACTCTTCTTTTTAAGTCTCATAAAACGTGGTTTTGTTACCAGGCTACGAGTAATACAGCCCAAACAGCTGCAAACACGTAGCAAACTGTGGGTCTATATATATCATACTATATATATATTGTAGCAATAAGACTCGTGCTCTCTATAAAATTTTGCTGAGTAGTTTTCGTTCATTGTTGACAGATTTCCTTCATAGCTACTCATCGAATATGAAAGAAGATAACGATATATTGTAGGCGTCTATACGAACTAGGCAAGCCAGATTAACTAGGTTGACTTGAGTCACGAAAATCTTTGTTAGGTCACAGCAAAATGTCCTAATAATGGACTGCTAGCTACTAGCATTATAAAAGCTACCGTTTTCAACCTTGGGCAAGCGAATCTACAAGTAAACCGGGTTGGCACTGCATATAAATGAGCCACAATCATCTTGTTCGTGAGTGGGTGAGGCTGGTCGGGTTTTGCGAGTTTGTTTTGAACTATAAATCTCGATAAATGATTGTTATAGCTTTTTTAATGCTGAATGATCCTAAAATAGGCATGCAGAGTGATCTTCTGTCGCATCTAGATCTTGATGTAAAATTAGAAATTAGAGAAATAAACTTTTAAATAGCCAGAGTTCAAAATTTGAATAAAAATTACATCAATGATGTTAGCAATAGAAACTCGAGAAGTTCAATATTAATTATGACGTCGGTAGCTTTGAAATGAATCGTGACTACGGGCACGAAACATTAGACACTTTGTATGTTAATTATGTTAACATTCAGACTTGTGGTTCGCCTGTTCGCGGTGTTTAGTTTTTTCAAAATCTGAGTTTGAAAAACTTCGCTATAGGTCATCATCGCTAATTTTTACATCGTGATATTTAAGGGCCGTTCACACGATCCAACTTTGTCGGATCTAATATAGTAATTCACTTCTGGCGTATGGAATGTAGTCTTTTATCAATAAAGCAGTACTGCATTGGTTTTGACGATATGCTGGCCATATAGTTTGTATTTCAACAGACTATATAAAACATCCGTCAGAAGTGAATTGGATCGCGTGATCTTTATTCATACATTGAACACCTTGAATTGAAGCACAAGCTGCGTGCTATATTTACAACCTGCGACAATGTTTATCATTTCTCGACACGTATAAATTATAAATGTTATGCAGTGCCATGTATGCACATTTTATGTCAATATACTAAAATAACGTTCCCTTTGGCTTTATAATACTATAGTAGTTCCGACAAGGATCGAGTGATTGTTACAAAGTAGTTATACTCCGAAAAATATATTGTACGTGTCTGTGACTATAGAGGTTTGATATCAAATTATATACACATGCTGCTAACTTATTTTATCCAATCCAATCGCTTCAGCAACACTGCAACACAGTCATAACGCGGATGACTTTTTACGGTATCCTGTATATCAAATTTAAAAATTGGTGGAATTCACATTGGAGAAGTCATATTCCGATTAAGTTTTAACAATATATTCATAATCGTGTTCCTGAGGTGCAGAATATCATTGTTTTAATGTTTCTTATTCATTTGATTGACCAGGAAAGAATTGTGCATTTACCCGTAAACGTTCTAACAGTCAGTAAAATCTGAACACCTTCAATACTATCACAGCACGAATCACTGAAGTTGCAAGTGGACCGCTAAGTCTATACTTTCTTCGCCGCATCTCGGTCACACGGCTCACACCAAATGTATAACTAAGATAATAGATAACAAGATGATAAACCTTATTAACTCTCATTATGCATTGTTGAATTTGCTTTCAATGCAACCAAAATGCGACCTGCTCATGAAATAACTCTTAGAATACGCTCAAACTGAGATCAAGAGCACACGAGCGTCGTTTTCGAGCGTTTACAAAATCATTCAAGTGCATGTCTATTTGTTGTTTAGACGCCCTGCCCAGACGGTACAAGGAAAGATATGCTTAATATGTTGAATAAACTTCGAATTCGATTGTAAATTGACGGTGTTTGAAACCGTTTTGGCATGAAAACGAATGTGAAAACGCTCGAAAACGTTTGTGCACATAGCCGGGGTAAAGTGTGTCCAGCACTGGTGCAAAAGTTATAATTGGTTCATAAAACATGCCCTTGTTGAGTATACTACTTCTGAACACCGTTCTTGCGTGGCCACCTTGTTTAATTTCATTTGGAAGCATCGTGTTCAACCTAGCGCCAGAAAAAGTGACGTTCATCATGCAATGCCGATTGCCGGTTATATATACTCAGTCTGAAGTCTGAACGCAGCCGTAAGAGGAGATGGCTGGATCATGACTAAATGAAGGCAAAACTACATGAATAATAATCGCTTCATTATTTATATAATTCTTTGGCGTAATGTGTTGCGTAATCATTACTAGTTAAGTGCTGCGTAGTTTAATAATAAATTGACTAAAATAAAGTATTGTACAGAAGGGGTGTATCAATCTAATAACATTATAGAGAAGTTTGAAACACTATTTTTGTCGACATGCGTATACATCATTTTACAAGTCTGCTAAAGCCGTCTATCAAGGCTGCTTGATGCATTTATTTGCGTGTATTTGTGCGGATTAGAAACTTCAGATAAGGATAATGTTGCCATTTAATTTCACGATAAGATATTAACTTTAAACTTGTGGTTAGTTTCAAAATCCCGACTTCGTTACACAATCTGGATCAAGATTTGAAAACATTCACTAATCCTGCAGCGTCAGAGATGTGTAAGGTTTTTTTTTCGCTCAAACAAAACCGCTAATAACATTAACTGTAAATAAATACAGTTATTAATATGTCGTTTCCCTATATTTAGCAGTTGCATGCATGCGGTGACTAATTTTAACTGAGCAAAATCAAAACTAATTTGATAACAACACAATCACAAAATATAATTTCCACGCGAAACATCCTGAAACATCAATATATAATGAAATCATTTTGTATAAATATTCGGCTTATTCTGTTCGTGCTCTTGTATATAGTTCTTTCAAATTACAGAAATTAAAATGATTATTTAATTTACCTGGTGTATTTATAGTCAACGGTCATATATATCATGCGTGTTATTCTTTTGTGATATCTTTTTCGGATCAAATTTAATGAACTTTATAGCTGTGTTACGTAACCACAAACCATGCAGTGTCAAAGGCCTAGGGCTCAGCAAAACAACATAGTGGATGATAAAAACTGAAGCTCTGTTTATTCAGTTATAATTTCCGCTTTAACTTGAGCCTATATATTTACACTTGGAAATTTTACCGCAATTGTAGATGAAATTCTTTTACAACTGATGAGAAAGAGAAGCCTTTGATTCACATCTGGTTTTTACATCTATCAAAAGTAAACCGTATCCAAAGTTGCAAGTCTTAGGGGTCTTTATATTTGCATAGATTCCAAGCGTGAAACGTGTGTGATTATAAGAAATTGGAGCCGGTTGTATCAAGCCCGTTTAGCTTAAATGGCGGATAAGTTCAAAATAGAAATCAAGTCTCTCGTTTTATTCAACAAGCAAACAAAATGTTTTTGACCTTATTACAAATATTATACTGCTTACAACTACATATTCAGTGCATAATGTTCAAGTTGACTCGTTCAAGAGAGATGTAAGAGTGTTATTTAATTTTGACTTATCCGCCGTCTAAGCTGAACGGGCTTGATACAACCGACCCCAGTTGGCTACATCCTAGGCGCTCGTTATCTTGGTAGCGACATTATATTATATTACCTTATCCTAATATGGGGCGAAATACTCAATCCCACGGTAGCACCGGCGTGGTGATTCTCTGATATCCGACTACATTTCGCCTACATTTTCCGTCGAAGACAATCAATTAGTTAGCCTGCTGCGTGAGCCCGTTGCTCTAAGATCCTGAGCGATTACGAGCCAGCGCGACTGTTTATCTTTTTCGCTGTCCTACGTCTAAAGCCGTAATTCATTATGAAAAGCGTGGGATCTAAATATAGCAGCTGTTTACTTTTTATATCTTCCTCACATGAAGGGGAAATTATATGCTAAATAGTGAAGCCAACTTGCTGTGAATATTGCCGTCAAACTTTTAAACTCGCGACTCGTTTTAAACCTGAACTAATGGCAAATAGTTTTGCTTTATGACTCAAAGTAATCGAATATATGCAAATATATTGAACATTCGTACGAATCGGCCTTCGGTCGAAAAGGATTTTAACCTTTGCTTCTATTTTAGTTTATTAGTTAGCCTTATATAAAAGTGTTATGAAACACAGGATTATTTTTCAGGAAATAGTACAGCATCCATAAAGTAAAATAGGAAATATGGATTGCATTTAATCCAGCGGAATATTTGTACATATCCTCTTTGCCTCGCCGCGGTGAAAGCCCCTATTTAACTTTGAAGTAAAACAAAGGCTGTCTTTCTTCTCTTAGTTTATCCCTAGTCAATATGTGAAGTGTGTAATAATTACGAGTATAGCACGATTAGCATCTACTTATTATACATGACGTCAATGCTAATTAACAGTCCTGCAGCTGAAATTGAACCTAACCTAACTGACACATACGCTATTATCTAACACGAAAAGCTAATCTAAAATGAAAAGCTAATCTAACATGAAAAGCTAATCTAACACGAAAAGCTAATCTAACACGAAAAGCTAATCTAACATGAAAAGCTAATCTAATATGAAAAACTAATCTAACATGAAAAGCTAATCTAACACGA